GCAGGAATTTTTTAAATAAATATATATATATATATAATGATTTTCTTTTTTTTTTTCGTTTTGTTTTGTTGGTAAAATTATACTAAATGAGTCCATTAGAAATAGTATGAGTTAAGAGTCTTGAGGAACCTGTTAGGACCAAATGACAGCTGTGATCTTGAAGTAGTGCAATAAGAACACTAAACCAACCAGCACTGTGTGTAGTGTTTCACTTTACTGTAGCAAAAATTCCAGATTCTGTTCACATTCTCTTTGGTTGCTAATCTGTCTGCTAGATGGGGTTTCACACATCTGCAATACCAGCATTTGAGAAGTAGAGGATTGTCAGTTGGAGTTCAGCGTGGGCTACAAAGTGAAACTCCATCTGAGAAGGGGGAAGGGGCCCCGGAGAGCCGGCTCAGTGACTAAGGGTACTTGTTGCTCTTGCAGTGGACCTGGCTTCAGTTCCTGGCACCCACATGTCAGGTTACAATCATCTGTGACTCCAGTTGCAGAGGATTCCTTACCATTTTCTGGATACCAGGGACATAGGCACACACATGGTGCACATGCATATATGCAGGCAAAATACCCACACACACATAAAATAAAGATAAATACATCTTTAAAAGCCTTATTGCTAAGTGAGACATAGCCCTGCAACAGGTTCCCACTTAAGCACGAAAGAGATCTTCTGCAGGTGGGTGGTGGTGGCACAAATGCCTTTAATTCCAGTACTCGGGAGGCAGAGTCAGGTGTATCTCTAGTTCAAGGGCAGCCTGGTTTACAGACTGCAATCCAGGGCAGCCAGGCCTACACAGAGAAAACTTGTCTTGAAAAACAAAAAGAAATATCCTCCACTGAAAATTATACCAGAGACATTAAGAACTTAAAAAAATAATTTACTAATCAGAACGTGATATTTAAGTCACTATAATTTTTTTTTTTATTTAATGAAACCTACAAAGTATGCTTAATTTTGTGGGCTTAGTAAATGTAGTCAAATATATTTTCCTTAACTCAGTTAAAATTCTTTAGACATGAAAATATTGAATTTAAGTCTATTTTAATTTTTTGTGGTCTTGGAAAGTTACATATTCTTTGGAGAAGCGTCTTAGTTTTAAACCTTCAGTGTTAGAGGCTGAGACTAGCTGATAGGCTGGCTCCTGGTGAAGTGGGCTTGTACATTTAAAGTCATTGTCAGACCTGGAGGTGGTGGCACACGCCTTTAATCCCAGCACTCTGGAGGCAGAGGCAAGTGGATCTCTGTGAGTTTGAGGCCAGCCTGGCCTACAGAGAGAGTTCAGGGCAGTCAGAGCTGTTCCACAGAGAAACCCTGTCTGGAGATGTGGGCTTGGGATGCAGAGAACTTGGGAAGAGAGAACTTGTTGGGTTCCCCAGTTCTGAAAACAACCGTAACAAAACACAGCACACACACACACACACACACACACACACACACACACACACACACACACGAGTCTGTTGTCAATATTTAAAATGTGAGTTCATTTAACAATTCCGGATTCTCTCAGAAAGCTACAAGATTGCAGTAGAAACCTCCCTAGTCTGGCAGTGCTCAGGCTGATGAACGTAGACTTGTACTGTACAACAGCTTGCATGTATTTTAACTGCTTGGCTTCTCTGGGGCCTGCAGCCCACAATCATTGGATTAAATGTTCTGAAGAGCCTCTAACAGACCTGGAACCTAGCAATCTGGCACGGCTTTGAGGCACCCATAGCACAGATCTGAAAAGCTCCTGCAAACAAAAAACCGGAGCAATTTTCCAGTTAAGTTTGAGTGAACATTTTCTTGCCTGGTTACGGTGGTTGTTTCAGTTAATTAGTGTTTCAGGCTGATGATGATGATTAGTGTTTCAGGCTGGTCTCACTCGAGCGATACACAGCTTTTTACCAACTTCATTTCATAGCTGAGGAACCCCTTGAAGTTCTAACATTCCTCTGTTCCTCCCTACAGTGCTTCATTTATAGGTGTCAAAAACAAGACCACGGCCCACTCCTATTGAACAGGTAGCTCCTGATTCAATAGATTCTGAGAACGGCTCTTACATCATACCTACAGAGAACAGCAGTGTGTCACGACAAACTTCCTTCCAAAGGAGGAGTGCTTCTATGTGGGTCACTAGTGCTGAACTCAGTGGAGTAGCTAGTCACAGCTCTGACATAGGGCCTTCATGAGGGAAACCCGTTTCTCAGGCTGTGGACTAGGTCTTCTGGTTAGCGATGGCTAGTGTCAGTGGATGCTCTCTCGTGCCTGGTAAGAGCACTAATATCATTCGCTGTCGTTTCCTTGAAAGCAGGTCCTTCCTCAGATAATAAAATCTCATGTCTACAAAGAACAGTCTTGGAATTCTTTATCTGGTAGGAATTCTGTACCCTATGTGAGTAGACTGTAGGATAAAAACCTTAGTGTTTCCGTCGTTAGCAATCTTAGGACTTTTCTTTCCAGTTGTGGATCTTAATGTGTGTTATGTTTAATATTTAAGAAAATATCTATCTACAGGCATAAATATGTGTGCACACATTGTCTTCAATAAGTTTTGAAGTCCATGAAATTGGATTCCAGGTTGGTAGTCACAGCTCCACCTACAGCACCCCTCTGTCTCAGTGTCCAAACAGGATCACACTGTGTGTGTGTAGAAACAGGAGTGCAGACGGTATTAAGATCTGAACTCTTTCTCAAGGATATGAAGTGTTCAGGAGAGCCGTATTTCCACGTTGGGGTGTTTTAACATGAACCTCCTAAGACATGGAGCGGGAAGGTCTGCGTGAGGAGGTCAGTGTCTCTGTGACGGTGATGCGTTCAGAAGTTGATTTCAAATTGTGCACTGACTGTTAAGTTTACTGCTTTTGCCGTGGAGAAATTTTTGCTATAGGTATGCTTGGGTTTTTCTTGGTTCTAAAATTTTACTCGTCTCATTTCTGCTTTTAGCCTTTGGGATGGTAACTATTTCAGACTGGAAAGGGGCACACGGTTAACATAGGAAGACAGGCTGAGCAGAGCAATTCTTTCTTTCCTATGTACAAATCTTAAGATCCCAGTAAGATTCTGGAGCCCACTAAAAACGCTCAGATGCACTGAAGAAATTTCTTTTTGAGTAATTAATTCAGTGTTGTAATGGAAGCTTTAAGGGTCTTTGAAATGTAAGGATAAATTTTAAGCTCACTTCTTCGGTATTCACATAAGCTAACGTCAACCCAATCCGACACGTATGAAAGTTGTGCACTATCTTAAAACTGGAGTGTTGAGCAACTTCGGCTACCTCCGATAGCAGCAGTTTCTGAAACTCCCTAGGGTGATGTGGCAAAGAACAATTTGAGTTTCGACAACGTAGGCCTCAGTTTGGTCCTAAGTCACTGGCTGTAACCGTGGATGTTTCTGATTTTGTGTGAGTGCTTGTGGCATGAAAGTGGTGTTTTCACTAGAAGGTTTTATTACAGGAATTTACAAAGGTTTTTATGATTTCCTGTGTCAAGTTCTCTCCGGCTCCTCTGAACTGCTTTAACTGAAGACACCTTAAGTTTGGGATAAGACGAAGGTGTTGGTAAAGAAAACACGCACTAGAGACAGGTTATCTTTTAAACCTTATGCTTAAAATCGTCTCTCTCAGTACTTTATGCCATGGCCCTAAAAATAGAGCCCTAAATTTAGAGGGCAAGCTGCTACATTTAGTTCCTTTCTCCGTGAGCGCCCCGTGCTGGGCAGAAGTCCACCCGGGCTTGATTTAGGTACCGAGGCGCTAATGGAGTTTAAGACTGGGGCTCCTGGCTACTGCCCACCAGGTGACCTCAGGTGAGTGAACCTGAAGGCCGGGCAGAGGAGGGCTGAAGCGGGCTTGCCCAGCAGTCGTTAAACTCTGACCAGAGCGCGCACACAGTTGACCCGAACGCCTTCGGTAGCCAGAGTTGGAAGTGCCGACGCGGAAGGCTTGACGCGCGCCGGCTCGTGCACCACCGAACGTTCTGGCAGGAATTGTCTCTCTGCCCGGCAACGCAGTGTTGGTTTTGTGCTTGAGAAGAGAGGACAGGAGCGCGTTGGGAGCTGGGACGAAGGGTGTATTTTCACCCCGGGACCGCTCCCGAGGCCTCGGCTGCGTTTGCAGTCGCAGGCTTAGTGCTCTGTATCTCCTTACTCAGGGTTTGGAGGCCCAGGCGAGGAGCTTGGGCCCTTTAAGTGCGAGTGCGGACGTGTCCGCGGAGTTGGTAGAGGTAGAGGAGGCGTCTCCACCGCACCGGCGAGACCAAGACCGGGGGTGAGAGGCGGGCTCCCCCCGCGGGGCCCACGGTGGTGCGGGCCGGCCGCCGGCGCCTTCGCCTTCCCAGCGCCCCGCCGACTGCGCCCGGGCCTGCTGCTGGCCGGCGGGCCGGCTGCGAGGCCTCCGCCCGTGGGCGCGGCGATGGTGGGGTCCGGGGCCGCCGCCGGGTGCGTGCGGCTGCTTCTGGAGCTGCTGCGCTGGGTGAGTCCTGGGCTCGGGAGCCGTGGGCCCGGCGGGGCCGAGCGTCTGCGGCGGGGGAAGCTAGCCGGAGCTCAGAGCGCTCGCCCGGCCTGTGCTCGGCTGCTGCTCGCCGCGGGGAAAGGGGCTAGGGCATCCGGAAGGCAACGTGGAACTTCCACAGGGGCCCGCACCGTTCTCAATTCCGGAGTCAGTTTGCCTGAACATTATTTTGAACAGGGGTCAGTTACACGTGGTTCTTCTAGCTGCCGGAAACTGGAGTTTCTTGGCGGTGAAACTTCTTACCTAAGAGGACACCTAGCCGGGGCCAGAGCCAAGATTCTAATTCCTCATTATTTTTCCCCAGTAAAGAATAATGCCCTTTTGAGATGCCTTTAATTGTAGTGTGCCTTCTTCCTTTTTGTTATTGTTACTGTAAAATGTGTTCTTGTAAACTCTAGAGATAGTGAACACTCAGGATCCAAAGTATATATCTGTTTTTTTCTCTCATTTTGTAAGCAGGTGGCGGAGGTTTTGCTCTTTAGGTGTAAGTGGTTGTTGTTGTTGACATGTTTAGGAAAACACACACAGTTTTTGAAGACTGCATTGCATTTTTAAAAAGACCGTTTAAATCCTGCAGCTGCTCTGATTAACCAGTTCTGAGTATCCTCTTGCTCTGTGAATTTAAAGGAGTCTTGCCATGCTCATGCTTCGCTTATCCGACAGCCATGGTGCAGTGGGCGCTCCCACCCATGAATGCAAACGCTCTATGGAGGTTCTAAGTGAACTAAGAGTTTTGGTCCTTGTCAGCGTGTTGTCTTTCTAGGGAGAGAACACACAAAACTAATCCACAGTCGAAGCCGATTGCTTATAGAAGCACACATGGAGAGATGGTTGAGAAAGTCTTTTTAGAGGCTGAGCACATAGCGTAAGGAGATGTGAAAACAGCGTGCACAGGGGCTCAGCTGCTCAGAGCATAGCGTGAGCCAAGGCTGTGATGTGAAATGATGCTTACTGTGGACAAGTGGGACCCAAGGACTGCTGGAGGGTGCAGGAGAGCCACTGAAGGCTTTTCAGTGGTTAGACTTAGAAAAAAGGATAAATTTTCCTGAAAGTATGTAGGTCAGACGTCAGGGGACAAAAAATAGGAAGGAGAAATAACAGTGGTTGTAGTGACGTGACATCTTGTTTGTGTTTTAAGTAAAGCTTGCCTTTGCCTGAAGACCAGCGTGCCGAGCTAAGCCACTAGAAACCAGGGAGTGGTGGCACACACCTTTAATCGCAGGACTCTGGAGACTGGCGGAGGGATCTCTGTTACCCCAAGGCCACCCTGGGAAACACAAAACGTTGAATCTGTCTAAAAGAGAAACAGTTTACACAAAGGTGATCCCAGCACTTGGATCCCATGCCTTTAATCCCAGCACTAGCGGGGTGGACACAGGAGTGATATGACTGGGCGGAGAGAGGAATATAAGGCGGGAGGAGACAAGAGATCAGTGCAGTGTGAGCTTTGGTGGAGACAGTTGCAGTCTAAGAATGCAGTCTGAGGAGACACTCTGAGGACAGGATCGCCCCTTTGGTCTGAGCGTTGTTAAGGTAAAAGGTCTCTCTAGTATCTGGCTGCACTGCTTCTCTGATCCTTCAGTTTTCATGACCCTCGAAGTCAGATATTAGAATTAGAATTCGTGCTACAGGTGGTGAGGATACAGAAGGTGGTCCTAAATAGGACTTTCTTGATTAGTTGTGGAGAGGGATACGTTGTGGGGAGAATCTAGAATAATCACTAAATCCTTAGTGACTGGCTGTGCCACTAAGTTACTGAGATGGGGATTTGTGGTACAAGAAGCATACTGTAGATGAGGCATAATTTCAGATCACATACATCTCCCTTAAAATCAACAGTTAGGACCCAGGGAGATGGCTCAGTGTTAATTCCTTGCTATGCAAGTGTGATCTGGAGTTGGAACCCTTACAGGCAGTGCCCTCCAGCTCTAGCATTGGGTGGGGATGTGTGTAGGGGAATCCCAGGCTCGCTGGTCACCATTTAGCCAAGAATCTAGGTTCAGCAGGAGACCCCGCTGTCTCAGAAAAAGTAAGGTGGAGAAGGAAGACATCTCCACGTCAACCTCTGGCTTTTCTGTGTATGTTCATGCAGTGGACACATAAAACACGCGCCTAACAGTTACCAACACTTGGTTTTCGTAAGGCTGGTAATGAGGCACATGGAGAGATTTTGCAAACTTTGCAGGATTTTTCATGCTTCAGTGGGCTATGTGGATGTGTTTTGCTGATCTTAGGGCAACAGTTCCTCGCACACCTTCAGGATGGTGTTGCTGTGGGTTTTGTACTGTGCTGTTTGTCAGATTGAGAAATGTCACTCTAGTTTGCAGAGTCTCTTGATCATTATTAGAGGGCGTTTGATTTTGTGAAATAGTTTCTTAGTATCTGTTGATGTCATTTTTTTATTTCTTTTACTATGGTATATAGCATTGATTTTTTTTAACTTAAGAATTACATTCATGCATTTGTGTGTGTGTGTGCTTGTGCATGGAAATCCAAGGACCCAGGAATCTGTTTTTTTCCTTCTACCATGTGGGTTCTAGGGTTCAAACTGGTCATCAGTCTCGGTGGCAAAGTTCTTACCTGTTGAGCCATCTTCCTGGCCCAATATCTTTTTAAGAAAGGCTTTCACAACTATGAATTTCCCTTTTACGCACTGGATTAGCTGTATTTTTATAAGTTTTGTTGTGTGGTATTTTTTTCAATTTATCTGAAAGCATTTTATTTTTATTGGAAAAAAACCCTTTCTTTTATGTGCTTGGGTGTTTTGCTCCTGCACATATGCCCCTGCATCATGTGTTTGCGGTGCCTGAAGATGCCACACGAGCATGCCAGATCCCCAGGGACTGGAATTATGGACCCTGTTGGATGCTGGGCACTGAGCCCAGGTCCCCTAGAAGAACCACCAGTAGTTCTCTTAACCATCTCACCATCCCCTGGAAGTATTTTCTAATTTCCGTAGTTGGATTGGAGATATGGTTTGGTGGGTAAGACACCTGAGTTCAGATCCCCAGAACCCACATTAAAGTTGGAGAAGAAGCATCTGTTATGCGTCCCTCTCGGTAGGCAGAGGAGGAGGCGGGAGGCTCCTGACACTTCCAGGCCAGCTAGCCTGGCATATGTGACCGTGAATAATAGGAGATCTGTGTTTTTTCCTCTGCAGGGAAATGTTTTCTCAAACACAATTCATATAGATAAAACATGAACTTTAAGTCAGTGTAAAGTACCCAACCCAGGTCACTGATATTCTTTTGTAGTTTTTTTAACTCTTTGGGGACGTGCCACCCAGCTCCCAGATAAATACATGGAGATTTATTCTTACTTATGAATGCCCGGCCTTAGCTTGGCTTGTTTCTAGCCAGCTTTTCTAACTTAAATCATCCCATTTCTCTTTAACTACATTTTGCCTCTGGACTTTTTACCTTTCTTTATTCTATGTGTCTTTCTGTCCTTCTTAATTGGTGACTGGCCCCTGGCATCTTCCTTTCTTCCTTTTCTTGTTTACTCTTCTCCAGATTTTTCCTATTTATTCTCTCTGCCAGGCAGTCCCCTCCTTTCCTTTCTCCTGCCTAGCTATTGGCTGTTCAGCTCTTTATAGACCAATCAGTTGTTTTAGGCAAAGTAACACAGCTTTACGGAGTTAAACAAAATGCAACATAAAAGAATGCAACACATCTTTGTATCATTAAACAAATGTTCCACAGTAGAAATGAGTGTAACACATTTTAAAATAATATATTCCACAACATTTTTTTCAAGACAGGGATTCTCTGTGTAATAGTCCTAGCTGTCTTGGAACTCACTCTATAGACCAGACTGGCCTTAAACTCAAAAAGATCCACCTACCTCTGCTTCCTGAGTTCTGGAATTAAAGGCACATGCCGCCCCTGCCTTATCCTTGAAACCTTCCTGGAGTTTAAGCTCTGGGAATCTCCTCATAGCTCCTGTTTGAAAACCACTGTGTTTCACACTACACTTGTCTCTCAGTATGAGCACGACTGTAAGTTGTAAGAAAACATGGTCGGAGGTTTTCTGCTTAGTATTACATGGCAGCCCATTTCATGTTCCTAGAGCTGACCTCAGCCACCTGCACCTGTCTTTGTTGATAGGCTAACTTCCTTTGTCTTGAAGGTCGTGGCAGCAGTGCCTGAAGATATGAAAGCGGAGTTCAGTGCCAATGGATTTTCAGTGGAACTGATGATCTGTGCGCTTAGCGTTGGGCTGCTTGTCTTCCTCCTGTTTCTGTGGAGAGCCTTCCGATCAGTAAGTAACCACTCAGACTAAGAGAATGGTCATTCTGGGTTTGCGTTTTTTAAATTCATTTTATTTTATATGTATGACTGTTTTGCCTACATGTATGTATGTGTATCACATGTGTTTCTGGTACACACAGAAGTGAGAAGAGGATCCTTGGTACTGGAGTTCCTGATGATTGTGGGCTACCATGTGGGTGATGAGAATTGAATTCTGGTCCTCTACAAGAGTAACAAGGGCTCTTAGCCACTGAGCCAGCTCTCCAACCCTCATTCTGTCTTTAGACAGAACAACTGATTGGAGAAACTTGTTATTTCAGGGAAATAAGTCAGGCCATAGTGTTTTGGGCTGCTCATGGTAATATGTAGTTATTAGAAAGTGAATATGGGTTTAGAGAAATGTTTTCGCATGTAAGGAATTTTGAAAGGATTTTCTTTGTAGGAATATTGTCTACAATACTAGTTTCAAAGCCCCACCCTTTTCTTTTTCTGTTTTGAGGGGGGTCTGCGTTTGTTTGTTTGTTTGTTTTGGTTTTTGAAGACAGGGTTTCTCAGTAGTCAGTCCTGGAACTCACTCTGTAGACCAGGCAGGCCTCGAATTCACAGAGATCTGCCTGCCTCTGCCTCCTGAGTGCTGGGATTAAAAAATACTTTTTCTTAGGGCCAAATATGTGCATGGGAAGCATCTTTTTTTAAAGATTTATTTATTTATTATGTATATACTTTTCTACCTGCATGTCTGTCTGCGGGCCAGAAGAAGGCACAGATGGTATGAGCCACCATGTCATGGCTGGGAATTGAACTCAGGACCTCTGAGCCATCTTTCCAGCCCGGGAAACATGGGTTTAAGTGGAATTAAACAGGTGTCTTTATAATGCGGCTGTCTCAGAGCCTATAATATGGTAGCACAATGTGGCTCTAGGTGGGAGGCACACTGTGTAGCATTGTTTTCACTGGGAATAGAATGCTCACTGTAAAGCCATAAGAAAGTTATTAACTTAGGAGAAGTCATATAGATTTACTTGAAGGTGTATTTGTTCTAATGTAATTTTGTTAAAAATTTGTTTCAGATTCAAAGCCGATTTTATGTGGGTAAGTTTTTTTTTCTGTTGTAGATCCCGTGCTTCTTGTATATAATTAATAAAACTTGTAACAGTTTAGTTATAATAATAATCTTTCTTTTGCTTTCTCAGGAAGAGAAAGAAAACTTGCTCTAGAACTTTCAGCACTAATTGAAGAGAAATGTAAACTACTTGATAAAGTCAGCCTCGTTCAGAAGGAGGTGAGAGGTGTCTGAAAACGGAGTCAGTGGAGAGCGTGGGGCTCAGTGGTTCTCCGTGGGTCACTCAGGGCCTTCAGAGCTCCTTTGCCGAGCACCTGCCTCACTTAGCCCTTCCCTTTGCAGCCACCCTGGTGATGTCTAGTGCTTATCTTTCCTGACTAGGGAGGTGGAGCACCTTCATTTGTTTATTGTTCATTTAGATAGTCTTCTTGTGGACTTGCATTTTTAAGTCTTTTTCATCTTAAAAATGACATTGTGTGTCTCTCTTTGTGTTGGTGAATGTGTACAGGTACCAAGACATTTGTGTGGTGATTGTAGAACATGGAGGAGTCGGTTCTCTCCTTTTTCCTTGTGGGTCCCAGGGGTTGAAGTCAGTCTTGGCCTCAAGCTCCTTAAGTACCAAGCCATCTCACTGGCCCATTTCCACCCTTTTAAAAGCACTCATAATCTTTTTCTCCTTATGTCATATAGAAGTGGGACTTTCGTTTTGAATAGTTTATATCTTATATATAAGAGTTTTGTCAGATGTATGGATTGCAGATACCTTGTGGCTAACATTTCTGTTTTGTTTGGTGTCTTAGAAGGTAGAGATTTAGGATTAGAATTTTAGTGTAGTGTCATGTGTCGAGTTTTGCTTACTAAGGGGGTAGTGGTGCCCTTACTTGTCATCGCATAGAGACTTTATTTACTGTTTTCATTCGGCTTATGTTAGCAGCAGGAGTGAATTTCCTTACAGTTCTGAAAACAAGAGTCCAAGATGGAGGCATAGGTAGGCTTTGCTTCTTCTGTGGCCTGTCCCTTGAATTGTAGATAGTGCTGACTGCTTGCCACGTCTCGCTCTGTCTTCTTAGGAGACCAGGCATATTAGGCTAGGGTCGTCTTACTGCCTCATTTTATCCATTATTATTCAAAGGCTTTGTCTCCAAATAAACACACATGCTGAGGTTTCTCTGTATCGCCTTGGCTGTCTTAGAACTTGCTTTGTAGATCAGGCTGACCTCAAACTTAGAGAATCTGCCTGCCTCTGCCTCCCAGAGTGCTGGGATTAAAGGTGTGCATTACCACTGCCCAGCTCTCCCCCTGCCCCCTCCTCCTCCTCTTCCTCCCTCCTCTTCCTCCTTCTTCTCTTTCTTCTTTTTCTTCTTTAATTATTTTTGTATTTTATGTGCATTGGTGTTTTGCTTGCATGTATGTCTGTGTGAGGGTGTCAGATCTCCTGCAACTGGAGTTACAGACAGTTGTGAGCTGCTGTAAAAGTGCTGGGAACTGAACCTGGGTCCTCTGGAAGAGGAGCAGATACTCTTTATTTTTGTTTTATGTGTATGAGTGTTTTGCTTGCATGTATATGTGTGTGCTGGATGTGTGCCTCCTACCTTCTTAGTGCTGGGATAAAAGGTGTTAGAGATATGAAAAGCCACAGAAAATATTACTTACCAGTATTTAAGACATAAAGAAGGATCAGAAAGGGAACACTAGAAAAAGAGGAAAAGCGTAAGAGCTATGAAAAGCAATAGAGAAAATTTTGTGTATTGGGTTAGAGGAAAAGGATGTATAGAAGAGCCTTTCTCACCAAGACACAAGTTCCTACATACCAACCAAATACCTAACATGTTTAGAACAAATAAGTAAATAAAAATAATTAAAAAGCATGTATAGGTAATTGGAAAATAAAAATTACAGATTAAAGTAATAAGCACACAAATGAGGAATAAAATGAGGAAGGGGCTGTCCTTGCCCCGCTTTCATTTCCCCTCCATTTGTTGTGTTGCTTGTATTTTCCATAAATGACCTTTATTGTGATGGGGGTCTTTCCTCTTACACATAAACCTTTTGGTCAAAGGAAGCTCTGTGTTGATCCATGTGCTTGTGTGTGCTCATGTGGGCTGGGGAAGTGACGATCACACTGACAGGGTTTAGCTTCAGTGTCAAGGGTAGATTCCACATGATTAGATTTCTGATCTTTTTGAGATCAGTGTTAAGTTCCATTTGTCAGAAATATATTGAGAATTTTGCAGTAGTTGTTTCCAGATACATTGACCTATTTTCTTGTGTTGTCTTTGTCTTGCTTAGTTATCAAGATGATACTTTTTGAAATTTTGAGGAAAGCACAGGCTCCTGTCCTAAAGCTCATCTGACTTAGCAGTTCCTGAAGTATATACATTGTTTCTTCATGGCTTCTAATTCTGAAGTCCTTACCTAGTTCCCTGCCTGTGTGAGTCTCTTACTGGAAAAGGAAATGCACACTGGGTTTGCCTGTCTGCAGGGCTCTCTTCTCCCATTCTGTTTGAATAGTTCTCAGAGGCCTTCAGACAGATTCTGTCCTTTGCTGTGTTGTCTAGCTGTTGTTCAGCAGGAAGCTTGATTCAGAAACAACATTGTCTTCAGTTTAATCACCCCCTTAAGGATTTGCCAAATCTTGTGATGTTTTATATTTTATTATTCTTAGTTTTTTATTCCTTGTTGATTATTTTGTCTTTTAAAGATTTTATCTTCCTTCCTTGCTTTGTTTGTAAACATGTGTTAGTTTGTTTGGGGTGACAGAACTCTCACTTCTTTGGGTGCTCATCAGCACACACTTGCTATTAGAGTTTCCACCCCCAGCAGACTTTGGGACAGCTTTGCTCCAAGAGACTTTTACATGTGTGGAGATAGATTGTTTGCCTTTTAGGCGTCTATTTAGATACACTTTGAGGTAAAGTTTGTAGTTTTTACTCACATGTTGCCTTGTTTCATTCAGTATGAAGGCTTAGAGTCATCTTTAAAGGAGGCCAACTTTGACAAGAAGTCAGAAGTACACAGTTTGGAGGTAAAAAAAAACAAGCAAGCAAACCAAAAAGTATGATTTAAAAGCTAGGGAAAAGATTCTAATTAAATAACAAACTTTAAAAAATATGTTATCTTCTCAAAAATAATTATTTCAGAGAAATAGGAAATGGCGTATCTGGATCTTAAAAGTTATAGAAAAAGTAGAAACAGAAATTTGTAGGTGGCATAAAACATTTGAAAACAAAACAATTCGAGCTCTTATTATTAACTTGTTTTGAAGGATACATAACCAGTTTATCAGAATCTATAGATTTATAGAAAGAAATCCTTTATTCTTCATTCCTAAGAATGCATTGAAGAGGCCATCCATTCCTTTTTTTGACATAGTTTTCTCCAGGAAAGAGACATAGAACTCTTTCACAAATTCAAGCATAATAGGAGACAAGTAAGTTGTGACCATATTACTTTTTTTTCTTACCTTGTTAGCAGGCATTAACTAGAATTAGACCAGAGGTTTGCGTGTAAATAGTGGCACGGTGGTGCATGTTTAATCCCTGTCTACAGAGCAGTCCCTGTTTACACACTTCGCCATGGCCACCTTCAGTCCGGAACATGATGTCACTGAATGGGGAGTCTGAGAGGCACACAGTTAACTCTCCTGTTCTAGAGGAGGCAAGGATTTCTCTTCTCAGACAGAGTAGGATGTGATGGAGTGCCTTGATACTATTACAGATGGAAGGTTGTGAGAAGTGAGTCGCGAGCCTCGGTGGTAGGAGCAGCCTGCCCCTGCTGCTGATAAAATAGAAAGTAGACGGTGTGCCTTTGTGTTCAGTCCGGCGTGGCAGTGTCATCGTCTGTACTCACAGCAAGTCTGTGTCTGACGGTTTAGAACGCCCTTGTAGTATCTACAAGAAGTTTAGACTCCAAATAAATCCTTAATTTTTTTTTTCTTTGTTACCTGTGAATAGCCTCAGGAACTCTTTGTAGGTTTGTTCAATGAGCATCGAGAACCTTTTGTTCTCTGTATTGTTTGCCTCTATTATTATCATAAATGCTATCCCAGTAGGGATTTACTAGTTTCTGTGAATGAAAGGGTATGCTTATCATCCCGGCACTTGGGGGGCTAATGTTGGAGGATTGCCAAGTCTGTCTCAAAAAACAAACACATGCACAAAATCAAAGCAAATGCCCCAAAACAAAACACATAGTTTTAGAAGCTGCTTGGTATTCATGGTGACAGAAAAGTTGTTACTGGGTAACAAAGAAATATTTATTCAGACCAATCTAATATTGGTATTACAGGTAATATAAACATACAAGTTTGTTGTGACAATAAATATGAGTTGAGATGCAGTCACATTAACTACCTTAGAAAATTATCTGCTAATTGTAGTAATGGTAAACATTTGTAAGGACAGTAGTCGTAGTTGGACACAGACTATAATGAAATACAAGTTTTACAAAGCTTTGCAGAGAGTTGACTTTGCAGGTAAAAATCAAACCAACAGAGTAATCTTGATTCAAGCCAGAAGTCCGGTCATGATGTAGTCAGATTTGGGGAGATACAGGTAAACAGGTGTGGACTACTGTAACACATTGTACTTTTGTCTTCTTTTAACAAGTTTGTTGAAGGATCACAAATATCAGAGGTATGTTAATTATAGTATTTAAAAATCAAAAGCGAATCTAATAATTAACCACTTTAAATTAAAACTATTATAAAAATATGTCATTCAATGGAAAATATGATGCAATCTTGATTTACATTTTTTTTATATTAAATTGAACGTCCTTTTCCCCTGTAACATGCTTTTTAACATGCTTAAGAACTGTTGACAAGCTGTGCTTGGTGGATTTTCTCCAGTCTTCTGTCTTTGTAAATAAAAGTTTTATTGGAATGTAGCCATATTAATTCCTTCATGGGTAGTCTTTGTTTCTCATGCTTAGCTGCTGGGAGCCTGAAATACTTACACTCTTTATAGAAGTTGCTGGCAACTGCTTGACCTGCTGCTATTTTAATATTAGCGAAATGAACAAATGTATAAAGTGTTTATAAATTTGTTTGATTATACTCATTTGATTTTTTTACCCTAACTAAATATTTGTATGTCTAGCTTATTAAAATTAGCTTTCTATTTTAGGCAACTTGTGAAAATCTAGAAAAATCCAAATCTGAACTTGAAGATGAAATACTCCTTCTAGAGAAGGAGCTAGAAGAAGAGAGAGCTAAACATTGTGAACAAGATGAGTTGGTGAGTCTTGTGTATTCTAAGAAAATTATGAATTTTACATATTAATACTTTTGATTAAATATTGAAAAAATACTGACACTGATTAAAATATTACATGTAAGCCAACCATAGTGGCACAAGCTTGTAATCCTAGCACTTGGGAGGACGAGTCAGGAGTTCTAGATTAGCCTTGCCTGCACAGGGAGAAGAGACACTATCTTAAAAAATGTAAATAAATGAAAATAAATAAATAAAATTCCCAAACCAACCAACCAAATAATAAATCTAACCAAAGGGGGGGGGAAACTCATGCACATGAAAAATAGAATGTAGAAGACCATGAGAACAAAAATTTCCAGATCTAATCTTTCACTTTTCAGATGTGATCAGAGGTCTTTTTTGCATATTCTTTTTTCTTGTTGAGACAGTCTTGGTTTATAGCCCAGTCTGTATAACTGTGTAATGGAGACTGGCCTCAAACTCCTGATCTTCCTGCCTGTGCCTCTTAAGAGCTGGGATTGCAAGTGTGTTCCCCAACACTTGGTGCTCTCATACATTTACATTTACAAAGAAAATTTCCATATTTCCATATTTGCTGTGGAAGTAACATAAATAATATAACTTGAATAATCATTTCTAGTGAAGGATCTATATGCTGTGAATATGTTTTATTATCATTGGTTAATAAAGAAGCTGCTTTGGGGGCTGGAGAGATGGCTCAGTGGTTAAGAGCACTGCTTGCTCTTCCAAAGGTCCTGAGTTCAATTCCCAGCAACCACATGGTGGCTCACAACCATCTGTAATAAGATTTGGTGCCCTCTNTAATTATTTAATTATTTATTTATTTATTATGTATACAATATTTTGTCTGTGTGTATGCCTGCAGGCTAGAAGAGGGCACCAGGCCCTATTACAGATGGTTGTGAGCCACCATGTGGTTGCTGGGAATTGAACTCAGGACTTTTGGAAGATCAGGCAATGCTCTTAACCTCTGAGCCATCTCTCCAGCCCCTACAAAAATGTTCTTAAGTCACTGAGTGTAGTGGCCCACATCTTTAATCCCAACACTTGAGAGGCAGAGGCAGCTGGAACTCTGTGAGTTTAAGTTCCAGGACTGCCAGTGTTGTTACACAGAGAAACCCTGTCTCAAAAAAAAACCCACAAGAAAAAAAAAATCTCTTGAGTCAAGCATGATGGTACACACCTATAATCCAATACTTGGAGGTAGAGGCAAGAGAATCAGGAGTTCAATGTCACCTTCAACTCTGCACCAAGTTCAAAGACAGCGCGGTTATGTAAGATCCTGTTTTAAAATAAATTGTCCTCTGACTTACACATACATACATAAATAAATGTAAAATGTTAAGATAAAAAATATAATAAGAACAATAACTTTCCAGGTATCGACTTTGCGACTCGTAAGATCGCCAAGTTGTTGAAGCCACAGAAGGTGATCGAACAAAATGGGGATTCCTTTACCATCCACACATACAGCAGTCTAAGGAATTATCTTGTTAAGTTCAAAGTTGGAGAAGAATTTGAGGAAGATAACAAAGGCCTGGATAACAGAAAATGCATGGTAAGGCAGTAGGGTGTGACTAAGAGGTCGGGCTCTCACTTGGCATGCATGAAAGCCGGCTAAGATTTCAAGCACCCTATGGTGCTAGAAAAGAAAATAACATAGACGCGGGGCTGGAGAGACGGCTCAGCAGTTAAAAGCACTTGTTGCTCTTGTAAAGAACCTGGGGTCCAATTCCCAGCACCCACATAGCTGCTCACATCCTCCTACAACTTCAATTCCAGGGATGCCCTCTTCTGACATCTGTGAGCACCAGGCATGCACACAGTATATATGCATACATGTAGGCAACACATACAGACACACACACAAAATAAAAAATTTTGAAATGTAGCATAGGCTATCTATCAGTTTCACAAGGTTAGCTCGGCATGCATCCTACCTGATGATATTAGGGATCCTGCCAGAACAAAGCGTTGTTTTCTCTCTTCCTTCACGCAGAGCTTGGTCACCTGGGAGAACGACAAACTCACTTGTGTGCAGAAAGGGGAGAAGAAGAACAGAGGTTGGAGCCACTGGATTGAAGGGGGCCAGCTCCACCTGGTACCTACCACATTTGTTCTTTAGAATCTATTTTTGGCGGGGAGGGGAGAGTTTTTTGTTGTTGTTGTTTTTTGGGTTTTTTTTGTTTTTGTTTTTTGATTTTTCGAGACAGGGTTTCTCTGTGGTTTCGGAGCCTGTCCTGGAACTAGCTCTTGTAGACCAGGCTGGTCTCGAACTCACAGAGATCCGCCTGCCTCTGCCTCCCGAGTGCTGGGATTAAAGGCAGGCGTGTGCCACCACCGCCCGGCGAGGGGAGAGTTTTAAATCTCTATTTCTTTATTTTCATTCGTGTGAGTGTATACCTGCACCTGTGTGTGCACCACATGCATGCAGTGTGTGCAGAGACCAAAAGAGGGCACTGGATCCCCTTGGAACTGGAGGTACTGGTGGTTGCGAGCTGCCCAGTGTGGGTTCAGGGAGCTGCACCCTGGTCCTTTGCAGGAACTGTCAGCTTCTGTGCCATCTTGCCATCCCCTTGTTCTGATTCTCTATTACATGTTTTTACTATTTAAAAAAAATGTTGTCATAGCAGTATATTTTGATCATATTCTTTGTCCTTACCCAAATCTTCCCAGACTATTCTGTCTCCCTAACTACCTGATTCCATGTTCTTTCTCGGAAACCAAAATAAACCCAAAAGAGAAAGACAGGATGAAAGAAAGAAAGAAAGAAAGAAAGAAAGAAAGAAAGAAAGAAAGGAAGGAAGGAAGGAAGGAGGGCTGGAGAGATGGCTCAGTGGCTAAGAGCACTGCTTGCTCTTCCAAAGGTCCTGAGTTCAATTCCCAGCAACCACATGGTGGCTCACAACCATCTGTAATAAGATTTGGTGCCCTCTTCTGGCCTGCAGGCATATACACAGACAGAATATTGTATACATAATAAATAAATAAATCTTTAAAAAAAAAAGAAGCTGCTTTGGGCCTGTGAAGGGGAAGAATATAGTCAGGAAATAGGAATATAGATAAATAGATAGATAGATAGATAGATAGATAGATAGATAGATAAAAAGAGAGAGAGAGTAGGTGGAGTCAAGGAGATGCCATGTAGCTGCCTAAGGAGAAAGATGCCCTGGAACTTTACCGGTAAACCACGAGCCTTGAGGTAATATACAAAATAATAGGAATGGGTTAATTTAAGATGAAAGAGTTAGTTAATAAGAAGCCTAAGCTATTGGCCAAATAGTGTTGTAATTAATGTAGTTTCTGTGTGATTATTTTGGGACTGGGAGGCAAAGAAACAAATGAGCAATCTCCCACTACAAAATGGTACACCATCATGGGCCAGCTACATCCACATAAAACCTGAGAGAGCTTGGAATGAATTCTAGACACACACACACAGAGTTAAACATGGCTTCATGGTAGCAGCATTTTCTCAGGTGGGCTCTTTGCTGGAAGCAAGTAGAGGCACGATTCCTTTAAGAGAGGTCTTCCTGACTCAGCATTAGCAGCAAAAAAACTGCGTGACTTCATTAAGAAATGGCTTCCTGGTTCATGCTGGTGTTGGTGGCATAATTAGCTCTGGCTCTTTGGGAAGATCCTGCACTTAAATGGGTTCTTTGAGCAGTGTGTTACAAATTGCTTAATGGAAACATAGACCCTCTGTGTCCCTGGAGCTATGGGGGAAATGTGAATGGATATATGTATATTTAACTTAAAAATATTATTAGGAATATTATAACTTTTTTTAATTTAAAGTCTGACATAAGGAAAATCTTGATCTGTGTGAGATTATTTGAAATATGAATTTGTGGGTTTATCTTGAACCTGAAAAGTACTATGATACATTGAATTTGAAAAGACGTACTATTGTCATGTAATTTGTAAAATCCTTGTGAGCACATTATAAACAAGTTGGTAAGTCCTCTTCATCTGGCCTCTCACTTTTATTGATAATAAATTAACAATATACCTAACTAATACATGTTGTCTCGGAGCTAAAGGGACTTATTAAATACTTATTGACTGATACTGTCTTTCCAGATGGCTGATATTTCAAAAAGGATAGAGTCTCTAGAAGATGAATCAAAATCTCTTAAATCACAAGTGGCTGAAGTAAGTTAAGTTGAATTACTTTAATTGGTCTGTCACTTTTGAAGAACATTTATGTTTTCATGTTATTTCTATGATTAGGTATATTAGTGTTCTTTAGAGGAATAGAACTAACAGGGTGACATCTATAGATTCCCTCCCTCCCTCCCTCCCTCCCTCCTCGCTATTTAAGGGGGATTTATTAGAGTGGCTTATAAGCTGTGGTCCAGCTAGTCCAGCAATGGCAGTCTACCAACAACGAGTCCAAGAGACCAGTAGTTTCTCAGTCCGTGAGGCTAGATTTCTCATGAGATATTCAGTATACACCAGAGTCCCAAAGAAGTAGGCTCTGTTGCCAGTGAAGAAATGGACTTGCCAGCAAGAGTAAGCAGAAGCAAGCAAAGAGCAAACGCTTCCTCTTTCCATGTCCTTTAGATAGGCTGCTACCAGAAAAATGTGGATCTGGATTAAAGGTGGGTCTTTCTATTTCAAATTATTTAATTAAGAAAAACTACTCACAGTTTGCTTCAATTTTATTTAATTCCATATATAGATGATTACCAAGAATAGTCACACATTGGGTAATAAGATATTACGTTAGTATTTGAAATATAGGGAATCTTAAATATGCATTTGTTTTAACTTGAGTTATTTTCAATGAAATTTATTTTTCCCTGGGTAGATTTAAACTATGGCTGTAGCTGAGCACTCTTGAAGTTGTGTGTATATATGTAACAATAGTAAATAGAGTTGCTTCCTACAGTCTTGACGTTTAGGGTAGGAGACAAAGAGTAAGTAGTGTGGGATCTTCCTGGAATAAGTACTTGGGCACTAGTAAGCCTGGAAGAGAAGAGATGTCATCAGTGGTGGACTGAAGTCAGGACAGCTCCTGAAAGGCTTCCATTCTGGGTTCGGTTTGTATTCTAAAACCACAAAGTGGTCAGGCAAGCAGGCAAGATTTTTCCAGTGCTGATGTGGCAGTCAGCAGGTTGCTTAAGGCAACAACCCATTGTTGTTTCTTCAGGTCATTCTATACCAGGTAAGCAGGTAAAGCCATGCTTGGCAAATAGGCAGTACAAGCAGTACTTTAAATCATTAAATAAACCTATAAGTCAGTAGCTAGTAATTGTTCATTTCTGTCTTTCCTATTTCAGCAATTAACAAAACTGTCCGCATAGTACACGGAAGGTTCAATAATTTGCTCAGAGTCACATGGCAAATGAGCGGTAGGGTAGGATGGGGCCCTGGGTCGTGGTTTGTTTGTTGTGTCAAAGTATTGCTGGTTCTGCGTTTGCTGCTTTTAACAGTGACCTGTTTGGGTCTTTGCTTAAATTTTATGTTCTGTGGAGAATACATAAACATGAAACTTTCTGTTAAATTGTTATAAACTGTATATTTCTTTTACTTAGGTGAAAACTACCTTTAAAATATTTGAAATCAATGAAGAACGACTTAAGGGAGCAATAAAAGAGGCCTTGATTGAAAAATCTGAACTTGAGGAAGGCCAGAAGCAGGTTTGTAGTCTGTAGAGACTTAGATCTGAATTTAGCTTTCGAAGCTCTGGGTGCCTGGAGCCATGCGATGAATGAGCAGGCTTTTGAGAGCAGCAGTCCCCTGCGTACTTCTGTCTCCCGAGGGTCTAAGCGTCTTTCCCTCTCTTTTCTCCCACGAGAGAGATAAGCCAAGGCGGTCACTGGAGACGGGGGCTAGCACCACTCACAGGGGAGAATGCATTCCAGTCGGGGGCCCAGAGGAAAGGCGTTCTGGGAGCACGGAAGATGAAATGTAGCTTTCATTCCCATCCTCCTCTCACACAGGCACCTGCATGTATGTGACCCCCCTTTTCTCTCCCAGTACGATTTTTGGCATGAAAATTCTCTGTCTTCCTGCCCTGTTTCCTCCTCTTTCTTCCCTGCCTTCCGTTCCCTCCCTTGCTCCCTCTCTCCCTTCCTTCTTTTCCACAGTGTGCATATCGAGGTGTGCGTGCGCGTGCATGTGTGTGTTTTGTGTGAGAGTTCAAGTGTGCACAGGTCATGGCTTGGTGTTGGTCCTTACCTTCCCTGTTTGAGAGAAGACTGTCCTTTTTCCATTGTGTATGACCGCATAGGTAGTCTTTGTAGCATGATTAATAAAAACCCAGAGACAGAAATTGGGGTTCAACCTGAAGGCCAGAAAAGCAAAACAGCCAGCTGCTGGCTCTTACTTCTACCTCAGTCTGAAATGGTGATTCTGCCTTCAGGAATCTCAGAATGAGACTGTGCGTGAGACCTGTCTCCTCCTGTTTTATATTCCTCTCTAGTGCTGGGATTAAAAGTGTGTATCACTACCACCCAGTTTTTATGGCAAACTAGCATGGTTTATTGGGATTAAAGGTGTGTGTTTGGCTAATTTGTTCATTTAAGATTCTAGTATTATTATTTTATTTATATTTTTGGAGAAAGTCGTCTAGTGTAGTTCAGTGTGGTCTGGAAGGCACTCTGTGGTACTCAGTCTCCTAACTGCTGGGATTATAGGTATGTGTCACTATGCCTGCTGCCACCTCTTTCTCTTCCTTCTCTTCTATTTTATTATTTTTAATTATGTGTGTGTGTGTATTTTGGGTGTGAATGTGTGCATACATGTGCAGGTGCCTTTAGAGGTCAGAGGTATCAGATCTCCCACAGACCTCAAATTACAGGCAGTTATAAGCCAACCGAGAAGTGTAAAGGGAACCAAACTCAAGTCCTGCCAAGAACAGTAGGCAATCTTAACCACTGAGCCATCTCCCTTCCCTTCGTTTTTTTCTGGGAGCCATTTTTCTTGGGAACTTAGATTCTTTTGGTACAATAAGAATGTGTTCTGTGGGGCAATGGTGGTGTACATCTTTGATCTGATCCCAGCTCTCAGGCAGATCTCTGAGAATTTGAGGCCAGTCTGGTCTATAGAGTGAGTTCCAGGCCAGCCAGGACTACACAGAGAAACCCTGCCTCAAAACAACAAAGGCGGTGGGGGGGGGGGAAGAGAAAGGAAGAAAAGAACCTGTTCCATATTTCTATTGGGCTTCTGATCCCGAGGCTTCGTTTCACTCAGCTGCCAAGGATTCTGGTTTTCTCATCTTCAGCATTCTATTTCCTTTATCAAAGACTTGTTCTTTTGTGGTTCATTATTTTGATTAACTTTCTGATAACGAGGTACAGGAGGTAATTTTAAAAGGAGGTTGCATAGCTGAAAATGTCCTGTTTTTCATTTTTGAAAAAAGATTTTTTTAAAAAATTTGTTATTTTAATTATGTGTCTGTATTTGTGTGCATCTGTGGTCATGATTAAGGTGCCCACAGTAGAGGGTGTTGAATCCTCTGGAGTTGGAGTTGTAAGTGGCTGCGACTACCTTGATGGGGTGTTGGGAGCTGAAGTCAGGACCTTGGAGAAACTGCATGGTATTAACCACTCAGCAGTTCTCCAGCTCCTCGTCCTCTTTCATGTTTCTGCTATTTGGATACTCATTTGCTCCACATTTTTGTTTGCTTGTTTTTTGAGACAGGGTTTGTCTGGGTAATAGTCCTGGCTGTTCTGAACTCACAGTGTAGCCTCAAACCGGAGTTCTGTCTGCGTTTTTTAAAATAAAATCTTGACATTGTTGCATTGTCTTCTCTTTCCTCCTCTGGTCTTGAGACTGGAGTGCTGAGTAGCTTCTTCACAAGCTGTTGATACCTTTCTGTTGTCTTCAGCGCTCTGAGATGACATGATGGGCGGGCCACACTGTGTTTCTTTCATTTCTTGGACACTCATTCTAGAAACACCTCTTGATTCTGTGGGTTACTAGAATTATTTTATGTATTTATTGTGATAATTTAAATTTTTTATTTATTGATTTGTAGATGCGTGTGATTGTGTTAATGTGTGCATGTGGATACATATATGTAACTGTGTGTAGACCAGAGGACCTCTTGACATTGTCAGGAATGGATTCCTTTTTTTTTTTTTTTTTTTGAGACAAAGTCTCTCTATGTAACCTTGGCTACCCCGGAACTCCCTATGCAGATCAGACTGAGTTCCCCCTGCCTCTGCCTCCTGAGCACTGAGATGAAAGGTATGTGTTACTGTGCTGTGCTGGGTTCCATCCTGTTGAGCTGGCCTCAGGTGGTTGACCTACTTTCAATTATAAAGTAGTTGGTTGCGCATACCATTTCTGCCACTACTACACCAGCAGACATATCTTGTCAGGCAGGTTGTTATTGTAGCTTGCGTGGCTCACAGGTCGGTGACATTGGTGATTCCTTTTTCCCCCTGGCAGCATGCACAGCACCGTCCAGCACTATTGAAGGTAGCCAGCAGGGATGGAGCATCCAGCTAGATGTGTGCATAAAGACAGAGATGAGTGGCAGAACTAAATGCGTGTGTGCATGGTTAGAAGACAGGAGCAGGAGGGAGGGAGGAGGGACAGGAGCCATGTGTGTGTGTGTTCCTATGTGTTGGTATGTGCATATGTGTGCAGCCAGCCATGACAGCCAGAAGAGGGCATTAGACCCTCTGGGATTCTAGGCAGCTCTGAACCATGCAGGTTCAGGGGATCAAGCATGGGTGCTCTTAACTACTCACTATTTGTCTAGGCCCCAGTTCTTCTCTTTGTCCTACTTATCGCTGTTGTTACTGCTTCAAATCGTGAGCCTTTCTGGATTGTGTCAAATCATCTTATTTTCTACTTTCCAGCTGGCTCAGTCTATTGTTTGTAGACAGTAGACACAGTTGTGTCTCTTCTATTTCTCTAATTTTCTTTTCCTCATCTCTCTCCTTTTGGGGGGGGGGGTTGATGCCTTTTCCTTTTACAATTTTGTTATGCCATCTTAGATTTCAGAGAATGTGATAGTGACAATGCCTGTTGTAAATTTCTCGTGCTATAATCAAAAGTACCTCCCCTCCATGTAGCCCAGGCTAGACTGGGGTTATCTGCAAAATATCTGTTCCAGATTAATAGTATTCTTGAGGGTTACCTATCTTCAGATAACCCTGAGTAAAACAGCATGGTGACTAAAAATATATCATTAAGGTAAGTGAGCTCTGGCATATTATATGGAATACAAAGATAGAATTGATTAGACTTTCAGATAAGTGTGTGTCAGAAACCTTGTACTTGATAAAAAATGACCTTTTAAATCAGTTGGAGAATATTTGTTACTCCACAGTCTCCTGTTTTAAAAGTTCTTTACAAAAGGGAACCACATCTGACTTCCTTTTTAAGTAGTAGCCCTACCTTCGTAGTATCATTTAATGATACATCTAAACCTTTAAATAAATGTATCTAAATATGTGTTATCTCTCACATCCTCGTTATTGTTTTCATATCAGCTTTTACAGGAAGCTGAAGCAGTGAAAGAACAAACGAATGAACTCGATAACCAGAAAGTAACATTCGAGGAATCCAAAGTACAGGAAGAGCAAGTTCTCAATGAAAAAGAAAATCAGATCAAGGTACTGGCTCTTTGGTTTTAGTGGCTACTTGGCCACAGTTTTATACTTAATGGAAATTCAAATACTGTTAAAGCTCTTATTGCTGTTGTGTCTTTTGTCACATCCATTCTTGAAGATACACAGGTTTGTGATATGTGTGCTAACACTCCATGTCTTTCTCCTCCGGGATTTTGGCCTGCTATTTATCAAGACAGAAAATGATTTTTACCTCTTCTTGTTATGCTGATATCTGCTACTGTTGGTTAAGAAAACGCTGAAAAATTGTTTGTAGTTTATATGTATTGACTGAATATTCTTACTATTGCTACTAAGTTTGTGTTACTTATTTCGTTGATAAAAAAAGCTCCCCTCCTCTTCTCTTCTCTCCTCTCTTTCTTTTGAATGCAAGGTATTCCATGAGGTAGTCCTGGCTTACCTGAACTCACTTTGTAGAGTAGGAGGGCACAGAGATCTGCCTGCCTCTGCCTTTTAAGTGCGGGAATTAAAGATGTTGTACTATGCTCAGCAAGTTTTGCTTTTTATTTTTTAAGGTTTAATAGTAAATTAATGTTGCAGTTTCACAAATAAGTATTTACATACCTTAGTGGCAGCTTGCAAATTAGAACACATGAGAAATTTATGTGGATTGATTTAAAATTTCTTTATTATATTTTAAAACTTATTTGTGTATGTATGTGTAGGGTATGTGCACGCCAGGATGTGTGTATGGAGCTCAGAGGACCGCTTTTGGGAGGCAATTCTCTGTCTACCATGTGGGTCCTGGAGTTCAAACTGAGGTCATCAGGTTTAGTGGCAGATACCTTTACCTGCCAAGCTCTCATTGGCCTGGAATTGCATTTTAAACTATTGCTAAGTTCTAAATTCTAAAGTTATTAGCACCAGTCACTACTTTCTTTCTCTTTTCCCTTTTTGCTCAATGTCAGTCACTGATGGAGAACCTGGTAAAGATGAAAGTCTGGACTGCTGTCCTCGGAGAAAACGCAGCACGTGATGGTAATCTCAGTTTGGAAGTGAAGAATGACCTAGAAAATGCTGCGCACTCAGGTATGGTGGCTGGCGCCTTGCGTCCTCTTCATTCTACGTGTGAGCTGTGCTCCTTGTACACTTGTACTTGGCACATTCTGTCCATCTGCCCGAAATGCCATGTGTCATACGTCTCTTCATTACAACACTTAGACTTGGATCATAACCACTCTGGTGCCTATCTTTATTGCTAGTCACATGGGTGTCAGAATAGCTGTAATTCAGAAACCCTTTGCTTTAGACAGATTATAGTACGTTAATCTTGGCCACAAATTGTGACTGCACTTGCTGGTTATATTGTGGCAGTCACAAAACGAAGGTTCATTTAGCTATTTACTGTATTTTCAAACCAATTCCTTTGACTCATTAAATTTTAATTTGAAAAGAGTACAGAATAAAATTAAAAACATTAAAAATAATCCCAGAATGTCGCATGTACCCTAGGCTTAATTCATTTCAGCAGTAATTCCTTTGTTTGCGTGTTTTATTTTTTCAAGATAGGGTTTTTCTGTATAGTCCTGGCTGTCCCAGAACTCACTGTATACACCATTCTGGCCTTGACTCCCTCTATAGATCCTGCCGTCCTTGAACTCAGAGATCTGCCAGCCTTTGCTTCCCAAGTGCCTTTAAAAGTGTGTGCCACCACTGCCCAGCTGCAATGGTGATTCTTTGAGCTTTGTGTCCCCTGTCTCGACTCCCTGACCTGTTGTATGATGAGTAGACTTCTCAACTCACAGACATAGTTTTCAAGTTGTCTAGTGGGGACCTAAAACTGTAGGTAGTGCTGAGTGAACCCCTTCTGTGTACTGTGCCCTCTCCTGTTCTCTTGTACTTTTAGAAGTTTATTACTTAGCCACAGTAAGAGACTTAGAGAATCAATAATAAACTAGGATACTTACTGCAGTATACTGTTAGGAGGTGATGGGACAGATTGACTGAGATGACTGAGTAATGAACAGATTGCGGGCGGGTCGCTTCTCAGGCAGGAAGCAGCAGGACAGTGGGAGATGGCCTTATGCCACTGAGGATCACAGGCAATATAGAACTTAGGAATTGTGTGTTTTAAAGTTGTGATGAAGAGATGTAGGACACATGGGACAAAGAAAGAGGCGGCTACAACTCTGAAGAGGTGAAGGAAGATCTACTGGAAAGTCCAGCTGTATGAGGTGGTGGGAGTGCACGGCATTTCGGGCGGATGGACAAACTGCTCCTAAAACACATAACGGGAACTGTTATATTTTTAGTTTTTCATTTTTACTTTATCATATAAGAAATAGTTTTCTTTTAGAATTTATGCTTAATTTTGAGCCATGGTTCACTACTACTTTGGATGCTGTAATGCCGTAAGCATCTAACATAGTTGAGTCTGTGGCCAGTGTTTAGATAGGACTATTCAGTTCTTGTTGGGACTCTGTAGTACTTTGTTTTTAATGTTTAGTTTGCTGAGAGGAGGTCACTCTACCTTATACAAATTATTAAATTTATTTTGATGACTGTTTTGGTGAGACAGTATCTCATCATAGCTCAAGCTGGCTCAAAATTCACTCTGTAGTTCCCGTCTGGCCTCAAACTCATGGTAATGCCCTTGTCTAGCTTTGGAGTATTGGGATTGAAGGCAAGAGGTGCTAAGCTCAGCTCCAAGTTGTTCACTGTGGCAAGAAGAGGGGTTGTAAGACTAGCTGAGGAACTAATACATTTATTTTGATGTCCTCAATAATTATAGTTTTATTTTTCGCTGTAGGAATTCAGCTGAAGGGAGCTTTGGATGAGTTGATTAATGCTAGTAAGGTTTGTATTATCTTGTAAATATAAAGATGATGGGGAGGACCTACAGCAGGGATTAAATATCTCTGCTCTTAGTAACTAATTTAAAGATTGCTTTTAGTGCTTCCTTATAAGGTTATATGAGAAATGATTAGAATTTTCTATTTTTGGCTGATGAGAAGCCAAGGACAATGGCACTGGGTTTTGATCCTACTGCATGAACTGGCTTTGTGGGAGCCTAGCCAGTTTGGATGCTCACCTTCCTAGACCTGGATGGAGGGGGGAGAACCTTGGACTTCCCACAGGGCAGGGAACCCTGACTGCTCTTCAGACTAGAGAGGGAGGGGGAGAGGAGTGGGGGGAGGGGGAGAAGAGAGGGGGGAGGGGGAGGGAAGTGAGAGGATGGGGAGGGAACTGGGAGGCGGGGAGGAGGCAGAAATTTTTTCAATTAAAAAAATAAAAAGAATTTTCTATTTTTTAGATTAATTTATTTTATCTGCATTAGTGTTTTGCCAGCACGTATGTCTGTGTGAGGGTGTCATATTCTCTGAAACTGGAGTTACAGACAATTTTGAGCTACCTTGTGGGTGCTGGGAATTGAACCCGGGTCTTCTGGAAGAGCAGCCAGTGCCCTTAACCACTGAACTGTCTCTCCAACCCCTAGAGCTTTCTTTTTCAATTGCTTTTTTCTGTTAACTTTTAGAAATTCACATAATTATAGAATTTAGAAAAGTTTAAGTTCTGCACTCATTCCTTCAGTTACAGATGCTTTAAAATGTTAACGTATTTATCTCATAGTTCCTCTGTGCAGTGTTTTCTTCTGGTTTATTCCTCTCCCTGTTCTTCCTAGCCTGAGTGAGAAGTCCTGGTGGTGTGGTGTGAAGGCCGCGTTAGCACTGCACCAATGGCTGCGTGTTTAGCATGACATCATCAGAGGGAAAATAGCTGCAGTGCAGTGTGGGGCGGATTGGGAGATGTGTGTGTCTTTTATAGCTGATTATTGCTTTTTTCTTCTTTCTTTAAAGTTGAGTGTGTCTTTAAAAGCCTTGGAAGGAGAAAGAAACCAAATTTACACTCAATTATCTGAAGTAGAGAAAATAAAAAAGAATCTTACAGGTAAGGTTTTCTCAATGGCTTTTCTCCTTAAAGAGAATGAATTACTGAGAGTTTTGCTGTTGTTGGTAAAGGCATTTCCATTTCTCTTATGTTTATGAAATAGTTTTTAAAGCGTGTAGGGCTGTGGATTATGGTGCGTCTGAGTTAGGGTTTCTATGCTGTGAAGAGACACCATGACCATGGCAACTCTTATAAGGAAAACATTTAATTGGGGCTGGCTTACAGTTCCAAGTTTTGGTGCCAGTAAATAATCTATATACATAATTTAAAGTAGTAGACCATACTTGTCCCAAGATCAGTCTTACAGTTGTCATTGTCGTTTTAGTGACACACAGGCAGACATGGTGCTGGAGAAAGAGCCACGAGTTCTACATCTAGAACTGCAGGCAGCAGGAGGAGCCTCAGTGACAGCTTCCTCCAACAGTCACACCTCATAATAGTGCTGCTCGCTGCCACCATGCAGTAGTATATGTTTGGTATAGTTTTAGATCATAAAAAGTATCAAATTTAAAATTTTCTTTTTTTTTTTTCTTCAGTTTTTTGAGACAGGGTTTCTCTGTAGCTTTGATGCCTGTCCTGGGACTAGCTCTGTAGACCAGGCTGGTCTCGAACTCCCAGAGATCCGCCTGCCTCTGCCTCCCAAGTGCTGGGATTGAAGGCGTGTGCCACCACTGCCCGGCTAAAATTTTCTTTACAGTTGTTTTTTTCAATTGAGAAGTTGATTTTCAGTAGTGGCTGATGACCGATGACTTGAAACATTTCTCTAGAGCGTATCAGAAGTCTGGAGTCTGAGAATGCATCTCTGGAGTCAGAAGGCATGCAGTTGGAAAACGAGAAGCAGAAGCTTCAGCACAAACTCAAAGTGTTGACTGAACTGTACCAAGAAAACGAAATGAAGCTTCACAGGTGAGACGTGTTCAGTGACTCCATCAGGTGACACGGAAAGTGGCTTCACAGTCTGTTACATGTTCAGGGCCTTAAACATGTAATCATTGGACCTTATCAATTCGATTGCATCATTCACTTTTAAGAATGTTCTTTCATCTTGAAGCCTGTTTTTCTTCCTGGAAGAAAATGTAAATGATGTTGGAGTTTCCAAGCTATCTCGCAGATTCCTTAATTCCTTAATGTCTTCAAAGCATTTATCAAATTAACACCTTAAACTAATGCAGACAAGCTGGGTCAAGGAATCTGAGAGATGTCTTTGAATGGAACCGCCTGGCGTATGTAAAACTGATTCCTTTCTCTTCCACAAGTCAGACTTGCTCAGTGCTCCTTGTTCTAGATAGGAAACGGCAGGATCCTGTGCCTTGAGCGCAGGGCAGCTGCTCTCATCATCCAATGCCTCTTGTGCGGCCCATGTTTGTCTCACCAGCAAAGCTTGTCGACCCTCTGAACCTTTAATCTGTTGGCATTTACCCTCCGTCTGTGCAGTGGTATGTGCAAATTCCTTTGTGGGCTGCACCGGTTCTGATGTGTTTTTAAAAGTGTAGTTGATTATAGTTATTATATACTTTAAGAGAAATAAAATATTTTTGTTTTAAGGAAATTGACAGTAGAGGAAAATTACCGATTAGAGAAAGAGGAAAAACTTTCCAAAGTAGATGAGAAGATCAGCCATGCGAACCAGGAGCTGGAGACCTACAGGTATGAAGTTCTCTTTCTTGTGGGATGCTCAGCAGCAGGAGTAACAAAATGGCATTTGTTTCTGTGTTTGTTTTGAGACAAGGTTGCTTTCTGTATCCCTGACTGACCTGGAACTCACTCTGTGAACCAGGCTGGCCTTGAACTCAGAGATTCACCTGCCTGTGTGTTGGAACTGAAGGTGTGTGCCTCTACCACCCAGTGGATTGGCTTATTTTTATTTCATTACTTGGCATTTGAATTTCTTGGTATTTTGCAGATATTCAGAAAATATAAAAAGGAAAACGTTTTCTTTTCAAGGACTATATATATACATATATACTTTAAATATATATATTTAAAATATAGACATATTTTATGTTAATGTTAAGAAGCTTGTAAATATGAATGCTATGTGGTAGCACTGGGAGGTGGAACGGAATGATCACAAGATCAGGGCCAACCTTGGCTAAGAGTGAGTTTGAAGTCAGCTTGGACTACATGAGCCCCTGTCTCAAAGAAGGAAATAGAGAGAGCAGTTTAATTAAAGCTTATTCATTGGGCTTTGTTCAAATGGGGAAGAATGAACACAGTATTAATATTCAGTAAGTGTGCCACTAAGTGTACAAGGCACACTTAGCATTTAGTAAATGCTAGCTATGGCTTTTTGTTCAGTCTGTAAACAGAGACCACATTCATTTCCCAGCTGCCCAGACCTGAATATTCATGCAGAAATTAGATTAATTATAACACTGTTTGGCCAGCTGTTCAGGCATATTCCTAGCTAGCTCTTACATCTTAAGTTAACCCATTTCTAATTCGTATTTTACCACGAGACTTGTGGTTTACCATTAAGGTTCTAGTCTTTCTCCTTCAGCAGCTACATGGCGTCTCCCTGACTCCACTTTCTTTCTCCCTGCATTCAGTTCAGTCTTCTTGCCTACCTATATTCTGCCCTGCCATAGGCCAAAGCAGCTTCTTTATTAACTAATGGTAATAAAACATATTCATAGCATACAGAGGGGCATCCTGCATCCAGTCCTCAGTGGATATAAGGAGGCACTGGAATGTCTGTTAAGAAGCACACTGCAGCAATTTGTCATAGAACATCTCTTTACCTAGGGGAGAGTAAACTTGCATTTTGTCTAAAAGGAAAAATTGCTTTCTTTGTTTCATAAAGACAGTTAGTTATGTTTTCACCTTTTAAGAGTTCCTCTTCTGTGCCAGGCGGTGATGGCACATGCCTTTATCCCAGCACTTGGGAGGATTTCTGTGAGTTCGAGGCCAGCCTGGTATACAGAACGAGTTCCAGGACAGCCAGGACTACGCAAAGAAACTCTGTCTTGAAAAACAAAAAAAAGTAAAAGAGTTTCTTCCTTGGGACTCTGTCAAGATTACAGGATCTGAGTTAATCTTGTGGAATTCCTTGTCCTGAAAATGAAAACCTGAAGATCAGGCGTGGTGGCATTGCCCGTGACGCCTTCACTTAGGATGGAGAGATAGGAAGATTATAACTGGGGTCGAGGCCAGGCTGGCTGAAGCCTTGAGGATTATATGTGATTATTTGTGATGTTGTTTGAGCCCCACTCAAGCAGTAGTGCTCACAAGGGTTAGCTGAGGTTAGAATTAGGGGAGGGAAAGATGCTCTTTAAAATCCTCAGCGTCGACAGATGAGTCTCGGGGTTATACCTAAGGTAGAACTCTCTGTATTCTTGTAGCCATGTGCTCTCATTCCTTATGTGTTACCACTTGTTCCTTATAGACAGCGCGCCAAGGATCTCGAAGAAGAGATGGAGAAAACAGTCCACTCTCTTCAAGGACAGGTACGTGTGACCGCTGTGCACACAGCGAGAGCACTCTGACTCTAGAGTGGCTGCAGGACTGTAGCTTCCATCCCTTCTGAGGTGTTTCGTAAACCTGTGAAAGATGCTGAAATCCAAAAATTCCAAGACTTTCCTTTCTTTGGGAATGAGGATTACGTAGCCCAGATAATGCCTGTCACCACTGCAGTCCCATGTTGTGCTTGTTATCTGTTCCTTGGAAACTCTCATAGTTGATCATCACATGAGGTTTGTTGGCATTAAAGAAATTTTTATCAGTTTTTGTTTAACAGTTGAGTAGAGCAGATCATACGTATACATGAGAGTATGCTTTCAAAATGCTTGTTCTGCTTCAGAGATTCCTGGGCAGTTTGAGTTTATGGTTTGTGCCCTAAATATTAGTGGTGGGAATGAATGTTTTTATTTAGGAATAATTTTAATAATTTTATTTAGGAATAAATTTAATTTAATATTTTTTAGGTTATTTCTCATGAGAAGAAAGCACATGATAATTGGGTAAGTTTTAAGTTCTCCTAAAGCCCTTTTGTCAAATTCCTTTCAGGAAATATACTACTCATTGTAGATTAGATAAAAATATAGGTAGTATTTAAAAAATAATCACTTTATTGATTTTATTAATTTTTATCAGTGATGAAATCATGTTACAAATAGAGATTCATCTGCCTCTGCCTCCTGAGTGCTGGGAGTAAAGGTGTGCACCACCACTGCCCGGCCAAAAAAAAATCTTTTCTGATAGTACTAAAATATATTTAGGCTATGTTTTCTGTGAATGTTTAGTTTATTCATTGGCTAAAATCAATTCTCATGTGTGTCTCACAGTTTTAAGTGAAAGCAAATTTGAAAGTTGAGTTCCTTTGATTTCTAAATAGTTATAGAATGTTAGTTCTTGTCTACCTGTGTATGGTCTACCTAGTAAGTTGTTCCTTTGATTTGTGAATGGTTGTACAATGTTAGTCTTTGTCTACCTGTGTCTGGTAAGCTCACTTCCTGCATTTGATCTATCTAATGTTTCGTATATGCTGCATCTAATCTGTGGAGTCCACAGAATGGCTGTGAAGCATGCACAGCACCATATGTTTTGCCTTTGTTAATGATTATTTGGGAACATTGCATGTTCTTGGTATTTATTATAACTAAGCTGGGCATGGTGCTCACGCTCCTAACAAACACACACACACCACAAACACTTGCACTCAGAGTCGTATGTGTGCATACACATTAAAACTACTTAGTGTTTGCACATTGTTTTTTTTTTTAAGATTTATTTATTATGTATACAACATTCTGCCTCCATGTATGCCCGCATGCCAGAGGAGGGCGCCAGATCTCATTACAGATGGTTGTGAGCCACCATGTGGTTGCTGGGAATTAAACTCAGGACCTTTGGAAGAGCAGCCAGTGCTCTTAACCACTGAGCCATCTCTCCAGCCCTGCACAGTGTTTTATACTTAATAGATGTGTAAGATTCACTGACTGTATTTAAGTTATTAAAAATATGAACTATACTGGCACCCTGTGAAGCTGTTTTAGACTTTTGATTGGGCATAATGACCATCCATTTCCATTGCCGTCATGCCTCTTAGGACTGGATATTTACAACACCAAATAACTTTAGGCCCAGACTTTGCATTTTAGTAGCAATCTACATTAGCAAGTGCCAATTAAACTCCAGCTTTATGTTCATTCCCTTTTTGAATAATTCTCTCAATTTAAAGTGTGTTATACCGACTCGTGTCTGTTTTGGGTTGTGATATTACATGCCATCATGCTGATATTTGTGCTGCTCTTGTCTTGAAGTTTAACTATATAGATATAGTTTCAAAATGTATTATTTTCTTCAAGCTGGCAGCTCGAACTTTTGAAAGAAATCTCAATGACTTAAGGAAAGAAAATGCTTTTAATAGACAAAAGTAAGTATTCATGGGGACACTTTAAAAGCTTCAAAGAATTTTAATGCTTATATAAGGTTAAATTTTAAAAGGTTTGTAGTAAATCCACATAATCTGCTATGAAATATTGTTGGTTTTAGCGGGTTTGAAGGTTTTTTTTTAATATTTATTTATTATGCATGCAATATTCTGTCTGTGTGTGTGTCTGCAGGCCAGAAGAGGGCGCCAGACCTCATTACAGATGGTTGTGAGCCACCATGTGGTTGCCGGGAATTGAACTCAGGACCTTTGGAAGAGCAGGCAATGCTCTTAACCTCTGAGCCATCTCTCCAGCCCCAGTGTTTTTGGTTTTTGTTTGTTTGTTTGAAATACTTACCTTAGGCTACTACAGGGACACCTTAAAGAAGCTTTCACAAGTTACACTGTAAAAAGTGTCACTTTAAAATATTAAACCAGTATGAGTGGAGAAAAGACATGGGCAAAAGAAAGGCATTCTTTCTGACACCATGATGCTTAGAGTATCTGTGTTCTTCATCACTAGGTAGAGAAAGTGTTTACTGTCTCAGCACTAGTTTGTTGTTGGGTGTTGCTGTGCAGTAATAAAGTGAAAGAAAGAACAAAAGTGTACAGTAAAAGGGAAGAGTAGATGGTTTTATGTGCGGTGGTAGCATCTTGTAGACTGTTACCCTTGCTTGCCAAACTCTGCTTTTAGCATCATTAAAAGCCAGTTTCTGTCTTCCAACTGGAAGCTCAGAAATTCAAGTCAGATAGTCGTTTTATTTCAAGTCTAAGAATCAGGACTAAATCACGTTTGTTTAAAATGTAACATTTAAAGATACAAAGTTTAGAGATTTCCAGTTTTACAAGGGGAAGTATAGGTAACTCAGAGCAGTTCTGTGCTGTAGCCTGGCCTTTTCATTTAGCAGTCACAGCCCCTGCCTCAGGTTCCGTGGTTATAAAGTGACACATTTGCACTAGTTTATTTTGGCTGTTCTACTTCAGAAATGTGCACTTGGAGAGACAGCACCCATCAAAGTCTTGATTTAGAGGCATGCAATTTTAAACATCAGTACCTCTAATGAGAAGCCGGTCTCCCCAAGGAAGTGTGGGAACCGTGGAAAGGTATCTGGGCAGACCAGTGGTAGGCCTTTCTCTCTTTAGCAGTTGTAGAGCTTGTGAGAGGAACTACTTTGGAAGTGGCCTTTGCTTAAAATGTGGTGTTTCCTTCGGGTGAGTAACGTAGCGATGTTTGTTCTTTGTTTGCAGATTAACTGAGACAGAATTTAAACTTGAACTTTTAGAAAAAGATCCTTATGCACTTGATGTTCCAAATACAGCATTTGGCAGAGGTAGTCTTTTTTTTTAACCCTTGTTTAAAATACATATTGTATATCCATATATATATTATGTATATAGTTTACTTTAGTGTAAGTTAACATTTTCACCTACGATATTTTGGATTTTGTAGTGAAGATTCTGTTTGAAACTGTTTGATTAACTCTGGGCTTGGGTTTCTGGGTTTTGTTTTTCTAGCAGTAATGAAAACGATTGGTATCTCCTTTCTCATTGAAATGTCATGGCAGGTATTTAGTGCTGTCAACTCCTTGAGCTGCCCAGTGCTCTTAATAAGGTACCGGTAGCTGACTCTGGGAGAATGAATGAGACGTACTTAAGTGGAATAGCAGTGACTATTTACATATTAACAATACTTTGAAATTTGCTTGAATAAAGTGAGAATTAACATAACACGGCTACTCAAATTCTTAGGACAGACGTAGTTCGCAGCTGATGATTCTAATCGTCCCAGGGAGGTTAGCCCTCAAAGGTGCAGTTAGCCCTCTGCAGACTCATTACTGAACATTTTAATGCTCTCCAAACAGCTAAGCATTTTCAGAGTGATGTTAGTTGAAGTGGAATTAAGGTACTGTAGTTAGGAAATGAAATCTTGGTAGGTAGAATCTATCTTTAATAACCTCTGGAATTCAGGAAATCATTTTTGAGAGTCAACTTTCATTAAATGTAAATGTGTCTTACATTTTAAAATATCAGATCATTGACTTCAATCAAGTAGTAGCAAAGCTTGAAGTGTGCCAAGTGTATAGGCAGAATTTTTGTTTAAATTCAAATCAGGATTCTATGGGAGGGTAAACCATGCTTTAATCTTTTTGTAAACCCTTTGGGTGTGACAGGTACACACTTTATAAGACTTACTCAAATGTGAATTCCCTGGTGTTTAAGTTCTTTCTTGATGCTGAATTTTTACCTTTGGAAGCGTAGTCGCAATTTGAGAATGATTACGTTTGTAAAATGGCAGGGCTCTTGGTTATCTGGATTACAGACAAATTTATTGGATGCGTGATAATATCTGAGTCTTTAACTTGTAAAATTCAAAAGTAATTTCTTATTTTTCAGAGTATTTTATGAATTTACTTCCTTTTCAAAATCTGACTTTTAGGGGCAGTGGTAGTGCACACCTTTAATCCCAGCACTTGGGGGGGGCGGGGGGGGGGGAGAGCAGAGGCAGGCAGATCTTGAGGCCAGTCTGCCTACAGAGCAAGTTCCAGGAGAGCCAAGAGAAACTTTGTTTCAAAAAAAAAAAAAAAAAAAGACTTAACTAAAACATTTCATGGTTGACCATGAACTGTCTGACTCTGCTTTAAATCAAGTGCTTCCATGTTGTAAACCTTCCTGGTTGAAATAGTGGGAAGTATTCGGTCACCAAATTCTCATCATCTGTGCATAGTGGCAGACACCTTTAATCCTAGTCTGAGTCAAGGACAGGCTAATCGTTGTGAGTATACAGTCAGGTGTACATATCCAGTTGAGGCCAGCTAGTGCTATATGATACCGTTTCAAAAAACAAAACAGCAACATAAAAAATGAGCAAACGAAAAAAGGAAGCCAACTTCATGCTCCCTAAATCTTTCAGTAACTCCTAAGCATTGCCAGCATCCTTTGTTTAGCTTGTGTGGTTACTTACAGTAACTAATGGTTTGGTTTTGTTTGTGGTTCTTTTGTTTGTGGGTTGGTTTTTATATACAACATGTCTTGACTTGTGTTTATTTAACCACTTAAAATTTTTCTAGAGCTTGTAGCCTGCCCTTAGCATTGCACAGATAAAAATAAGTGACATTTAACACAGACCTACTACCTTCACGTTTTAAAAAATCAGAACTCTCTCAGGGCTGAAGAGGTGGGTCAGCTGTTAAGAGCACATACTGCTCTTGCAGAGGACCTGAATTTAGTTCCTAGCACCCATATTGAGTAACTCATGATTCCTGTAATCTTCAACTCTAGGGAATCCAATGCCTCTGGCCTTTTAGGCCATTGCTGCTTGCTTACATGTAAAAACCCCACACTTAGACACACATAAATGAAGTAAAACCTTAAAAAAGTCAGAACACTGCATATAGGTATAAAGCTGACAGAATTCAAGGTATTCATATATACAAATGTATGATTTTAATTGACTAAATGTCTATTTAAATCTGTGTAGTCTTGAGGGCACAGACGAGACAAGCCGACATAGGATGACCCGATGACAGCTGTTGAACGGATTCTGACTTTATGGTACAGCTCACTTGTATGCATTGACATCTGCTGTTTTAATTATTCCAGAGCACTCCCCATTTGGTCCCTCACCATTGGGCCGACCTTCATCTGAAACGAGAGCTTTTCTCTCTCCTCCAACGTTGTTGGAGGGTCCACTCAGACTCTCACCTTCACTTCCTGGGGGAGGAGGAAGAGGTATATGGTTTAAACCTTTTTATTACTCTAAATTTCTTCCTTCCTTTCCATTTTCATCTTAACTTACCTTTAAAATAATCTGACTAGACATTTGGAAAGTACAAGCGTTCCTTGCACTCATCATAGATTTACTTATTTTTTTAACTGGGTACAGAATCTTGGGCCAGATATGGTGGCTCACACCTTTAATTCCAGCAGTCGGGAGTTTGAGGCCAGCCTGGTCTGCATAGTGAGTTCCAGGCCATTCAGAGCTGCATAGTAAGATTCAGCCTCAAAAACAAAGAAAAACTCTCCATAGTACATTCTTCTGATGTTTTTCTCTTGTGTACAGGTTAAGGCAGATGGCCATCCCAGTTCTGAAAACTCAGAAATCCTGAGTGCTCTGAATGGCAGACACTTTGGCTGTAACACTCAAAAAGTTGTGAATTTTGAAGCATTTCATATTGCAGATTTTGGATTTGTGATGTTCCATCCTTAAGGTCTATAAGCATGTGTGCGCATGTGCACGCGTGCACACACACATTTAAAATTACAAACACTTATGGCACCGTGTATTTCCAGTAAGGAGTACTCAGCCTGTATTGGATAATGAGGAATCAATGTTTATGTTTCAAAATTATATTATACTGCATAAAACCTTTTAAAGAATATGTAAGATAGAGCAGTCTAACCAGCATAAAATGCACTTTGATGAAATAGGATCAGACTGTAGACTTTTATATGTATATATTTAATTCAGTAACTTTTTAAAAAAATAGTAAATCATAACATGAAAGCCCCTATCCCCCCCTTTTAATCATGAAGGAAGTCAGAGTGCTCTTCTAGACGGAGTTTACATGGGGCCTTTTCAGGAATCTTAACTCTTACTGATGCTTTGAGAGACTATGCCGGGGTTGCCTGCATTGCTCCCATACTTACCTTGCTGTTTCTGTATTTCCGTAGCTATATTTAGTACAGGACCTGCTAATGAAATGTCTCTAACCATTTATGTAAGCGATGTAACAAACTAAATGTGTGTCAGGAACAAGTGAGACTCAAAAAAACAGCAAACTAGGGCTGGCTGGATGGCTCAGCCGTGAAGAGTGCTGACTGCTCTTCCAGAGGACCTAGGTTCAACTCCCAGGACTCACATGGCAGCTCACAGCTGTCTGTAACTCCAGTTCCAGGGGTCTTGAAACTTCCCGTGACAAAACATTAATGCACATAAAAGCTAAAAAAAAAAAAAAGTTAAAAATAAAACAAAACAAAACAAAAACCCCAGCAAAATAAACCAAACATCAATATTTTACACTTGAGTCTACTTACTCTAGAGTCTCTCAGGTAAACTATGTTCTTCAGCTAAACCTAAGGCCATTGTAAATCATCTAACATTCTGTTGTTTGTGAGAATATCAGGTTCCCAGGTGCCCAGTACTAGGTACTGAGGTGGAGGAGAGCTCAGTCTGTTTCCTCTTGTTATCCTTATCCTCGTTTGCTCCATGTGGAACTGTTTCCACACCTGCCAGCCTGGTTCACCTCAGAAAGAGCTTTGCTTGTGTTGGTTTTGAACTGGAAACTTATGGGGAAAGTAACTATGTCAGACACGGAGTCCTAGGGGGTTGTATGGAACACTCCAGAAAGGGTTAAGTGTTTAAATTTACATGTCTGCTTAAGATTTGGGCTTAGTGCTATCAGCCAATCCCCTTGCCACCACCTTTTATACTTGGACTTATAGTAAGAAATGCATGTCATATCATGTTACATACCAGTATAAATGCAATTACAGCCAGCCACAAGTATTTGCCATTGCACTTTGTGATTTCTGATTCTGTACATTTTTTATCACATTTCATTAAAGGAAGAATGTTCATTAAGACAAAGTCAATTTTGCACAGCACACATGGGTAGTAGCTATCCATAGCTGAACACAGTACCTAAGAAACAGTGTTTATTTGGCCAAGCTAACTCACTAGAACTTGGATTGCATAAGTCAAGGATTGCTTGTAGTCCAATGAATGTCTGAAATTATCACAGAAATTACCTTTCCTTTCTCCTTTCCTGTTTATGTACTTTCCTCTTCTCTTTAATTGCTTTTAAGTGACAGTGTGTTCAGATTATTTGCAAGGTTGTTTCCTGTCTATTAAAAAGCTACAGAAATTCTTGGTAAGTTACCAACAGATCTAAAAGCTTTGTTGGGACCAACTTTCCTATGAGCAGTGAAAGGGCAGAGCGGCTCCTTCTCCTTCCTCTTTTATCTTGAAATTTGAAAGCTTGAATAATATTGTGTATGAGGAAAGAAATTTATTTTTATTGAGTGAATTGTAAACATCTAGTTTTTAAAACCTTTTGAGCGTTCGTGTTTTCAGGTTTGCAGCGTCTACCTGCTAGTCCCTTGGCTGCCTGTGTCTTTGGTCCTGGTGGCAAGTGATGAGGAGAATGTTTGACTCTCTCACGAAGGCCTGTGGACTCCTGAGCATTCTCCCTTCCCAGCCTTCTTCTCATGAACTGATTCGGAGGAAAGATCTGGGGATTTACCAGAATATATAATCATTGCTGGATAGAATTACTACATTCATAGAGTTCTTGTTGTCTGGAGCTACTTGATTAGTAGTAGGTCGTTGATACAGTAGTGCAGCCTCTATGATGATTGGCAGAAATCATGCCTAAGCAACAAAAACCTTATCTTTTATTTATCTTATAGTTTTGCTTAGTATAAGTCTTTACAGTTTTCTTCTATACCGTGTTTTTCAGACTTAGTATTTATTAGCTATAATTATAGATATAATTATAAAATAATGATTGTGGTAATCCTTAAGGATGAATTTATAGGCAAGTGTTGTTGGATATTTATTTATTTTGTGCTGTGGGTTGATCTCAGAGCCATTTGTTAATTAAGCAAATACTCTAATCTCTAATCTATTTTTCTAGCCTGTAAGCAAGTATTTGTTTATACACATTGCAAAATTATTTCCCACTTCTTGGAAATGGTTTTGGTAGAATCATAATCAAATGTATTTCAGGGAAGCTTTGTTTGAATTTGTATTAACTTTTGAAGAGGCATCTTGATTTTGACAGAGGTCTTTTGTGGCAATTTGAGATAATACAGATCTGGGTTTTCTTTAATTAGGCTCACGAGGCCCTGAGAATTTTCTGGACCATCAGATGAATATTGAAAGAGGAGATTCAAACTATGACAGGGCATATGATGCCCCCAGAGCACCTTCTGACAGCTCCCTGTCACCTCCGTGGGAACACGGCCGAAGGGTGATGGCCCCTCCACCAGGTGTGTGAAGACAACAGTCATTGTTCAAACTTGCAAAACATCTTGTGTTTGGGATACAGTGATGGAAAGAGGGCCATATGTGTTCTCTGTTTTAAAAATTGTGATACTGTTTAGAAAAAAAAGAGTATTATGAGGTGACTGTTCACATTATAGGAAGTTTTCCCAATTGTTATTACTGCTTCTACAAATAATACATGCTTATTTTTGAAAATCTGAACAATGTAGGGATGTAGTACTACAGCAGTAAAAATTTCCATTGTCATCTTAGCAAACATTTCTTACCCAGAATTTAATTACGTATCTGGAGGGGTTAAAAAAAATGTGTGTGTTTACAAATATAATTGTTAAAATTCTTTGTCACTGCTGCTTGAACTCTCAGCAATCCTCCTGCATCCTGAGCAGGTTCTCCCACCTTTCTTGAGACTACCCAGTTCATCCTCCCTAGAGTGACCATATTTCTGACTGGCAGGTGTTTCCTACTTGGGAGTGCGGGGAATGTAGAGGTGCAGGACCTGCCTTCTACTTTCTAAATTTCCCAGGTGTGGCTTGCCTGTAGAGAGATGTCCTAGTTGGGGTTTCTATTGCCGTGAAGGGATACCATGATCACGGCATCTCTTATAAAGGAAAAGATTTAATTGGGGCTGGCTTAGTTTCAGAGGTTTAGTTCATCCTTTATGTGACAGGAAGTGTGGTGGCATGCAGGTAGACAGGGTGTTGGAGAAGGAGGTGAGAGTTTTATATCTTGATCTGCAGGCAACAGGAGACTCTGCCACACTGGTAGTAGCTTGAGCTTAGGAGACCTCAAAGCTCCCTCCCACCATGACACCAACAAGGCCATGCATCCTAAAAGCGCCACTCCCTATGGCCAAGCATCCAAACATATGAGTCTCTGGGGGCCATTCCTATCCAAACCATCACAGGAGGATGTGTCTGTGGATGCCAGGTACAGTCCTGGAGCTTCAGGTTCTCAGACTGCAGCCACGTACAGCAAGTTGTGCGCTCCAGAGGCCGATTTTCTCCCACTCAGGTCCTGAGCTGAGCCTCTTGCTGCATGTGCTGTCGAGCTTGTCACAGCTGTTTCCTGGGGTTTTCTCACACTGGTTGTGGCTGGTTGAATTTAGAATAGAACTACTACTTTTTTTATTTATGCTTCTTTCATAAATTACATACCAATTACAGTTTCCCCTGCTTGCTCTCCTCCCAGATCCTGCATACCTTTCCTCTCCCCCAGATCCATTCCTCCTCCATTCAGAAAAGGGCAGGCCTCCCAGGGATATCAACCAAACAGGGAATATAAATTACACTAAGATTAGGCACCTCCCCTCATATTAAGGCTGGTCAAGGCCACCCAGTAGGAGGAAAAGGGTCCCAAAAGTAGGCAAAAGAGTCAGAGACATCCCCACTCCCACTGTTAAGAGTTCCATAAGAACGTACAGGCTTCCTGATCATCCATTCAGTCTTTGTGAGCCCCTGTGAGCCCTGGTTAGTTGATTTTGTGAGTTTGCGTGTGATGTCCTTGACCCTTCTGGCTCCTACATTCCTTCCTTCCCCTCTTCCACAGAATTTCCGAGCCCCACCTACTGTTTGGCTGTAGGTCTCTGCATCTGCTCCCATCAATTGCTGGGTGAAGCCTCTCTGATGACGACTATGCTATGCTCTAGTCTATGAGTACAGCAGAGTATCATTAGGAATCATTTCATTGACTTTTTTCCTGCTGGTTGTGTTTGATTCTATCCTAGGTACTATCGTAGGTCTCTGGGCCATCCAGCCTCTGGATCCTGGCTCTCCAGATAGTGTCAGAGGTGGTCCCTCTTGTGCCATGGGTCTCAAGCTAGACCAGTCATTGGTTGGTGTGTCTCTATCTCTCTTTTAGATTTATTTTTATTTGCATTGGCGTTTTGCCTGCATGTATGTCTGTTGAGGATGCCAGTCCCCTTGAACTGGAATTCAGACAGTTATGAGCTGCCATGTGGGTGCTGGGAATTGAACCCAGGTCCTCTGGAAGAGTAGCCAGTGCTCATAACTACTGAGCCATCTCTCCAGCCCCATTTGGTTGGTGTCTTAGCTTATTACTATAATTCTGTAGTACAGCTTGAAATCGGGGGTGGTGTACCACCGGAGATTCTTTTACTGTACAGGATTGCTTTAGCTACCCTGAGTCTTTCGTTTTTCCATGTGAAATTGAATATTGTTCTTTCAAGGTCTATAAAGAATTGTATTGGGATTTTGATGAAGATTTCATTGAATCTGTAAATTACTGTTAGTAAGATGACCATTTTTACATTAATCCTACTGATCATGAGCATGGGAGATGTTACTGTCTTCTGGTATCTTTTTCAGTTTCTTCAAAGACTTGAAATTCTTATCATACAGGTCTTTAGCTTCCTTGGCTAGAGTTACTCCAAGATATGTTACATTATTTGTGGCTACTGTGAAGGGTGTTATTTTTTTCTCAGCCCATTTTTTTTTGTTTGTATATAGGAGGGTTATTGATTTCTTTTTTTTCTTTCATTCTTTTTTTCTTTTGAGTTAATCTTGTATCCATCCACTTTATTGAAGGTGTTTATTAACTGTAGGAGTTCCCTGGTAGAATTTTTGGGGTCGCTTATTCATATTATCATCTGCAAATGGCGATACTTTGACTTTTCTTTTCCAATTTGTATTCCCTTGAGCTCCTTTAATTGTCTTATTGCTCTATCTAGAACTTCAGGTACAATATTGACTAGATATGCAGAGAGTGGATAGCCTTGTCTTGTGGTGATAGAAATCAGTGAAAAAATGTGACATTCAATAGTCAATGGTCTCGTCACAGAAGCACCTCAGATAAACTCCAGTCGGGCATTCACAGGGAAGGGACAGTTGTACCAGGCCCCTTGGAATGGTGACATGTTCTCAAAAACAAACAAATAAACAAAAAACCAAAACTACCAACCACATGGTCAGTGAGATGGCTCAGGAAGAAAGGATACTTGCCAATAGGCCTGACAATCTAAGTTCGGTCTTCAGAACCCACATGGTGGGAGGAAAAGCTGACTCCTAAAGGCCATCTTTTGAACCTGCTCAATTATGCCATGGCATATGCACACACACACACACACACACACACACACACACACACACACTATATTTACTGATTTCTCTATAGCCATTCCATCTGACAGCATGCATTGCGCTGCTTAGCTCCTGCTGTCTGTTAGGCCCTGGATCTAAGGAACAGCTTACTTTTTGACAGTGGAGGGCAAAATGTATACGTTTTTGTGAAAGAATAAACTCTGAGTTTCTGATATTTTGGTGAACATTAGAAGCAAAATACTAATGTGGCGTCTTGAGACCTGGTTAAGGATGAGTTTCTCCATTTCATCCCTATGTTTAATTAATCCCATGTTTGAAGAAAAAGGGGGCAGTCTGTTTTAGATAGAAGGCTTTCTCTTAACCCTCTGCTATACGGGACTAGTTCTGGTCCTTTGAGACAGCTCTTTGCTAAGATCTGAAAGGCGGTGTAAATGAGCCTTCTATTCCGAAGTTTTGGAACTTTCCTCAGTCACATCCCTCCTCCTGGGAGCTCATTAGATGTCCTTCTCTCCGTGACTCTGTTTCATCTAGGTGGTTTCCTTGGCTTTGTGGAGGAGAGATGTTTCAGGGGAGTCCCATGAGCTTAAATCAGATGAGGAGAGACAGCCATTACTGAGTTCACGGGAGTTCACCCCTGCCTAGTGAGGCCGTGAAGGCAATTTGGCACTGTTTGCTGCTGTCTGTAGTAGGGCAATAAGGTGACTGTTGCTGTGACAAAACACCATGACCAAGAGCAACTTGTTAAGGAAAGGATTTATTTGATTATACTTCGACATTGTAGTCCATCACTGAAGAAAGTCAGGATAGGAATTCAAGCAGTGCAGGGACCTGGAGAGGGGCTGATCAGAGGCCATGGAGGAGTGCTGCTTCCTGGCTTGCTCCCCATGGCTTGCTCAGCTTGCTTTCTTATAGGACCCAAGACTACCAGCCCAAGGATAGCACCATCCACCATGGGCTGCTCCCCCGCAACTAATGACTAATTAAGAAATGCCTTCAGCCCGATCTTTTGAAGGTGTTTTCTCAATTGAGGTTTCTTCCTAGCTCTGTCAGGTTTGCATAAAACTACCAACATATGCATTGGAAGCCACACAGTTCACCCTCTTTGTCTCTCTTTGGAGTTGATCTGTTCATGCTATACCTCATAAAGTCTGCCATCACCACCTTGTTAAGTTCCACAAAGAATTACGAGTTCCCATTTTGTTATTCTAAATGAGGGTGGCTGCAGAAGCCTTTGCTTTCGAGTTTGCGTCCAAACTTGTGTTTGTGCTGCGGTCCTTCATCTGAGCCGAGCCTTAGCTTCGCCTGTTGAGCTGGATCTTTCCTTCAGTGTGGACTAAACCCCAAATTCTGAAGCTACTGAAAATCCGACCACACATGGTTTCTGGCTTACTCTCTGCCGTGGTGAGAGATGTAACTGTTGGCCAGATTTTCTGTTCTGCTTTTCCTTCTTGCTGGCAGGCTCTTCTCAGCATTTTCCCTGACATGATGTGGTTTCCTTGAGGTGCTGTTACTAATTTGAAGGTGAAATGAACTTAACTGAATTCTGTTTTCACATATCCTAAGGTGTCTTGTTTTTGCATTCTATCTGTAGATTTAGCTTACATCTACGCCGTAATCAAAGCTTTTAAATTCTGATGCATCAAAGTATGCTTGCTGTTTAATACAAAGACAAAGTAATTAACTTTTCTCAAATTGTTGACTAGTGCCTACCAATACCAAAGACAAAACATAGGTCACGGGTTTTGTCTTTAATTTTTGGATTCAGAGAAATGCTTAAGTCAGTATAAGCACAAGTAAACTAGACTTATGTTTACCATAATGAAAATATCCTAAAAATTTTCTAGGTCAACCATATTCTGATCCGTCTTTACAAAAGCAAGATAGATTTTATTCTAATTCTGGTAGACTCTCTGGACCAGCAGAACTCAGAAGTTATAATATGCCTTCTTTGGATAAAATGGGTAAGAAAAAAAAAGTGTGTGTGTGTGTGTGTGTGCGTGTGCACACACACGCGTGCGTTTGAGCATACATGTGCCTGTGATTAAATAGTTGTGATAGTGTAGAGGACTGGGAATTGAAAAAAGGCTAATATAATTGCTATACCAGATTGCGCTTTTTTTTTTTTCCTTCATTGTTTGAGACAGGATTTCTCTGTGTAGTTTTGGAACCTATCCTGGAACTTAATCTGTACACCACACTGGCCTTGAACTCACAGACATCCATCTGTCTTTGCCTCCTGAGTGCTAGGACTAAAGGCGTGTACCACCATTGCCTGGCCCCAGATTGCTTTTAAGGACAAAATATCTTTCCTAAATTTCCTGTGTTTGTCTCTCTCTCTCTCCTCTTTTTTCGAGACAGGGTTTCTCTGTGTAATTCTCTCTGTCCTGGAACTAGCTCTTGTAGACTAGGCTGGCCTCGAACTCACAGAGCTCAGTCTGCCTCTACCTCTTGAGTGCTGGGATTAAAGGCACGCACTACCACTGCCTGGCTGTGTTTGTATTTCTTGTTATCTTTTTTTTTTTAAACAGTTTATTTATTTTTATATTCTATGTATGGGTGTTTTGCCTGCATTTATTTCTGTGCATCACATGCATGCCTGATTCCTGGGGAAGCCAGAACAGGGCATCAGATCCCTTGGAACTGGAGTTACAGATAGTTGTGAGCTGCTATATGGGTGTTGGGAATTGAACACAGGTTCTGTGGAAAAGCAGCCAGTACTCTTAACCACCTTAACCACTGAACCATCTCTCCAGTGCTTTCTTGTCTCATATTATAGGTAGGTCATCTAACACATGTGTTGAAGGTTAGCTTTAGTACCATAGTAAGGGTTTACTGTATCTCCCTATGATATAAACTTTACTCTGTTCCAGAGCTAACTTCTCATTGTTTTCGGTCCATTTACATATATCCTGGTTAGCAGTCAAGGATATTAGTTAGCAAATATCAATGTATGTATAAAAGACGATCAGCAAAATAATTTGAGTTCATGTTCTCAATCAGTTATCTCATTTAATCATTTCATATTTAGTAGATTTAATCTGTCTGTCAGGACCTCTTCAACTACCAGTCAACTGTCCACTGAAGTTGTACTGTAGCTATCAAAGAATATAACATTAAGAAAGAATACGATTCAGAAAATCAATTTAAATTTTCATTGTGCCCTTGTTGAGATGTTCTTTAAGGGTACTTTCATGAAAGTATATATTGTGTACTGAGGGAAAGGGGGCAAAAGAAAAGACAGGAAGCGGGGTGCTGACTCCCAAGTTGTGCACTCAGGAGGCTGCTGCAGCAAGATCGCCTAGGACGACACTGTAGAAGAATGTCTTCTGTTGAAGTTTCCTCAGCCTGCAGGCTGCTTTTTTGATCCTAATATGGACTACTGTTGTATTCGTGCTAAGTTGTTCTCCTGTCCAGGAAGGGCAGTGGAACATGCCAGTGTCATTGGTATCTGGGAATGGTCTACCAATTGAGAATTCATGAGTTTTTCTGGTTTGATTTTTCTGTCTAGATGGGCCAGTACCCTCAAAAATGGAATCCAGTAAAAATGATACCAAAGATGATCCTGGTGTAAGTATTGAAAATTGAACTCTACCCATGTATCTCTCTATATCCAGTTTCTTGGTTTTGGTTTTAGTAGAATAAGGACAGAGCTATTCTACTTCCAGGATACTGATAAACCATACTCCTACGTAGCATTAACAATGTTCCATTTCTGGCTGTAATCTGTGGGAGAATAATACAAGTTGCAGCCAGGTGTTGATGATGCATGTAACCCTGGCATTTTGGCAGGCTGAGGCAGGAGGACTGTGAAATCAAAGCCAGTGTAGGTCACATAAGGAGATCTTGTCTCAAAAAACCCAAGAATGGACTGGAGAAATGGCTTACAGTGGCTGCTCTCCTAGAGGACCTGGGTTTGATTCCCAGCACCGTGGTCGCTCACAACCCTTCTTAACTCCAGTCTCAAGGGATCTGAAGCCCTATTCTATCTATTGAGAACACTGACTGTATATGATAATCAGACATATGTGCAGGCAAACACCCATACATGTCAAATAAGTAGAAAAAAAAACAAGAGAAAGAAACCTGATAGCTCCCACTTTTTTAAAAAAGCACAACTTTTAGATGACTTTACAGCATCTTTCCTAGCTGAACACAATTTCAGATTTTCTTCCTTGAAATTTTATTTGAATCTTAAAATATTTTAGTTTTAAAATATAACATTGATTTGGCATCAATATCTTAACATTTTCTTGTATGTGTATTTGATAAAACTATTTTTTAAAATGTCTAAAAATTGCTATGCTTGAACCGCACTTGTGTCTTAGGATGAGCTAGGTAGACTATTGCAGCTATGCTGAAAGTTTTCTGTTGTTAGTACAAACACTTAAAGATAGTGAACAAGCGGCTCATAGGCCAGTATGGAAACCTGACCTGGTCTCCCACCTTCCACAATGTCATGGTCGGCTTTTGCATGTGCGCCTTTAGTCTGTGTCTGGCGCCCTTGGGAAAGGAGCTGTGACCTGAGCCGCTTTACTGACGCTGATTGTCAATCTGTTACAGAACTCAACTGTGCCTGATTCTTCTCGCCCTGATGAGTGTGAAGCAGCTGGCCGTGGCTTTGTTCCTCCACCATTTCTTCCAGTCAGAGCCCCATTGTTTCCAGTGGATCCAAGGAGCCAGTTCATGAGAAGGGCTCCCCCTTTTCCTCCACCTCCTCCAGGGAACATCTATGCAGCGCCGCGAGATTATTTTCCACCAAGGGACTTCCCTGGCCCACCACCACCTCTATTCCCAGGTCGGCTTATCTGTGCTTTTCTTCAGCTTTTGCTTTCTGTTGCTGTGATAAACACTGACCAGAACCAGGAGAAAAGGACTAGATGGCTCACAGGTTACAGTCCAGCCACAAAGGAAGCCAAGGCTTCCCTTGATCCACTTTAGCGGAATTTGAATTTTATCTGTATTGTTATAGTTCAGAAAATCCCTGAATTTACAATCAGTTTTAAGACTAAAATTACGTTATTTCATTTGCTAGAAACGTTATTGTGGTCATTGTTTAAAATAATTACTTATATTTTAGTCTTTTTCATAAATAGTCCCAGCTGATTGTATTTATTTAAAATCTAAGATTATATTTTGTCAAATTTATTGAAATTCTTCCATTCCCTTACATTTTAAAATAAAAGCAATTTATTGCTTTTACAGCACACTTTATCTTTTGGAACCACAGGTTTCTACATAGTAAATCATGTTTTCAAGTACTAGACAGGAACTAGCTTAGTTGTCCTGGGTAGCTGCTCTCTGATCTCACCTCTGGTTTTAAAGTTCTAGGTAAATCAATTGAGTTTATTGTTTGGTAAGTTTTAAGGTGGTTCTTGGCATTACAGATAATGTTTTTAGTAGAATATTCCATCAGAATCACCAAAAATTTAACTACATTGAAAACCTGTTTTAAAGTAAATCTTGAGCCAGGTGGTGGTGACAACACATGCCTTTAATCCCAGCACTCGGGAGGCAGAGGCAGATGAATCTCTGTGAGTTCAAGGACAGCCAAGAGCTAGTTTTAGGACAGGCTCCAAAGCTACAGGGAAACCCTATCTTAAAAAACCAAAAGCAAATCTTGAGTGTACTGAGATCTATGTAACTGCGAAGATTGGACAAACATACCTGAAATTAATGATATTTTATTAATCCTGTGTAGTTGAAGAAGTACATTTTTTAGGGTCAGAATTAGTTTGTGAGATCAGATATTCTGGTGTGTGTGTCTGAGTATCAGAATAGCTGCTGGCGCTCATGGTGTGGCAGGTGTGCAGTACAGGGTTTCAGCTCACACTGTGCTTCACTAATCTCTTTGAACAGGGAGAAATGTGTTCGCACCACCACCACCACCAAGGGGCTTTCCACCTTACCTTCCCCCAAGAGCTGGGTTCTTTCCCCCACCCCCACATCCTGAAAGTAGGAGTGAGCTCCCGCCAGACTTGATTCCACCTTCAAAGGAACCTGCAGCTAAACCTCCAGAAACGCCGGAGATCTGATGGTGATATTGGTCTAAACAGTCATTTTCTTCTCATTTTCAGTTTAAGTAACGGCTGTTACTTATATGATTATATTTTTGCTCAACTTGGAGCTTAATGGAATTATAATTCTCAGGATAGTATTTTGTAAATAAAGATGATTTAAATATGAATCTTATGAGTAAATTATTTCCATTTTATTTTATTCTGGATAGTATATTTTACTTTGATTACCTCATCCATAATTATGGTAGTTTTATATATGTAATCTTATAGTTGGGGATATCTTAAAACTTAAAAGACTGTGTCTTTATACCAGGAATGTGTTCACCATGGTTGTAGACAAATGTAAAAGTAACTTTATGTTTAATCAAATAAATTTTTAATTGATTTAAATTCTTGTTTGGCATTGATAATAGTAAAATCAGCCAGTTTCACATAAACATGGTTCCATAAATTAATCTTTTTACCTGTACCAATAATTCAGTGGTTCAAAAGTAAAGCATTTGAGGCTGGAGAGATGGTGGCTCAATGGTTAAGAATATTGGCAGGGCTGGAGAAGTGGCTTAAGGGTTAAAAATACTGGGTGCTCTTGCACAGGCCCCAGGTTTGAGTCCAACCTCACAACTGTCTATAATTCTAGCTCCAGGGGATCCAGTGCTCTCTCCCAGCCTCCACGGATCACATGTACATAAATAAAAATAACTAAAAAATATAACAGGATCCATCTTTCCAGAAAAAAAAATACTGGCTGCTCTTCCAGAGGATTTGGGTTTGGTTCTCAGCATCCTGGCTTCCAAAAATGCATCAGGCATGCATGTAGTGCACATACATAAATGTAGACAAAACATCCACACATATAAAGTTATATAAAATAAAGGTAAATGATTTTGTGATCTTTCTGATTTGATTATCTTACAGAATATGTACCCTACTTCTTGCAGTTAGATATGACTGGCCCAAAATAAACTAATAAACTTTAAAAATTTAAATATGGATTACATTTTAAAGAAAGCCAGGATATTGTCTATGAATTTCAGAATTTTTTAAACTTGGTTCACCAGCTAGTTTTCTTTTAGCAGTTTAAAAACAATTTGTGTGTGTGTGTGCACTCGTGCATGAGAGAGAGAGAGAGACAGAGAGAAATTCTTAGCACGCAGAGGCAGAAAAAGACATTCTGTAAACTCAAGGCCAGCATGTTGTTGAGTACACAGCAAGTACCAGGGCTAGATACAGAAACCCTGCCTTTAAGAAACAAAATAAATAAATGTTAAAATAGGAGAAAGAGAAATTATATAAGAAACGAGACATCTGGTTGCCTTAACAGTCACCCCAAAGTTAATGTTGGGGCAACCAGCTTCCGGCCTAGAGGCCTAAAATATCCAATAGACTTTTCTGTGAAGCAGGAATTTTGACAGATTGTCCTACCTTGTCTTGTCAAAATTTGGCAAACTTTTGTGTCCTGTTTGATCAATTTTGACAGCAAGCATACTGTCAGCAATTGGGGCAAAGGCAGTTTCTTTGTCCAGTGACTAACCTTGCCACAAATGAAAGCAAACTCCATATGGAGGTTCTTCGATGCCCATCATCCTTTTATGAAGTAGATTAGTGTTGCTAGGAGCAGATGTGTCCCATTGTCATAAAAGCTTTAGGTTATTAAAATATTTTAAATGTCATATTCTGTAGGTCTTTGAAGTATTTGAAGACCATCTCTATTTAAAGGATATCTTTGTATGACCCTGAGAACACAGCTAAAATGACTAGGTTCGGTTCTTGTAGTTGACTATTAACTTGTATTTATTATCCAAAAATAGTTTTTAAGTAATAAAATTTACATTTTTAAATGAGCTGCATTGGTACAATATCTTAAACAAGAATAGAAGCATATATACAACAAAAGTAATCTTATTTGTATCAATATACAAATACCTATACCAATATAAAATACGTGAGACTCTAGTGATTGTTCCAAAGTAGACTCGTTGGTTGTGGTGCATGCCAGTAGGATTTGCTAAGGATGCAGGGGCAGGAGGATCACAAGTTCGAGGCCAGCATGGGCTACAATTTTTTTTTTTTTTTTTTTTTTGCCGGGCAGTGGTGGCACACGCCTTTAATCCCAGCGCTTAGGAGGCAGAGGCAGGTGGATCTCTGAGTTTGAGGCTAGCCTGGTCTACAAGAGCTAGTTCCAGGACAGGCTCCAAAGCCACAGAGAAACCCTGTCTCAAAAAAAAAAAAAAAAAAAAAAAAAACCCAAAACAAAAGTAGACTCAACAATCTACTTTTTTATCTCATCATTTCAATATTATATTCCCCCCTTTTCCCTTTAGAAAGAGATACTTAAAATTTAACCTCTTTTGTTTAGTTTTCTCCATGACCATGACCAATAATAACAACCTGTAACCAAGCCTCCTAAGTGATGACAAGTCAAACATCTATAACCCACTGATTAACCAAAAACTACCTATTGCACCTCTTGGGAATGTGGGTATCATGTTCTCTAGACTGCTTCCTGTTGTCTGGAGGTGATGACATTTTTGGGTAACCCTGAGAAAATTGGCATAATGGTCAAGTTCTGGAAAAAACTAGCCATAACATTTGTTGTCCAGTCTCTGTACAATGGAAAAGTACAAGGCTTATCTGTAGTCCTGGCTGGAACAGTCTGTGAGGCTGGACCATCTCATCCAGCAGCCTTGAAGCTGTTTTGGATGCAGAAGGGCTCATCACCTGGGCCACCCATTTCCATCGGTGTCTCTTCCCTGCTCTGAACACACGTAAACCTTCAAAGGTAACATACATATCTGCGTTAACACGAGTATAAACTATGTGTTCTAACAAGCTGGGCAAAGATGATTTTTTTTTTTATGTTTGAGCAGGTAAAATATACATCACTCATGTTGTAGTTTTCCAGGTTGATTTCTTTATGCCTGTAGCCAGGATTTTCAGGAGGTCTCCCCTGATCAAACCTGATCTCTATCAACCTTGAAGGAAACAGAAGCATAACTTTCCCCAAAGTAATAAATTTTCTGACTTGCATTCTTAAAATATCTAGGCTGGTTTAGTTCAGCAAGTCCAGTGTCTCTCCGTAGCTGTTGCTCTCTGTTTGCTAGCATTCAAAAATTCAAAATTAACACAATACCGGTGATACATGATCTAGGCTTCCCATCTTTGTGTGTTTTTTTTTTTTCTTTTATATTATTGTCTCTTTACAGACTTTATCTTATTTGTAAACCATTTTTTCTATGACTGCCTATACCCATTTTCTACACACTTTAAACATATTGTAACCTGTTTAGAGTTTTTTTTTTTTCCATCTGAACCTGATTTACTATGTATCTGTAACCTTTTCTGCCCACATGAGCAAAATCTTAAACTGCCGAGCATCTTAATCATGGTGCTCTGGCGGCTCAGTCCCGCAGCAGCAGTGGCCGAGAGACTGTACCATGGCCCACATGAGACTGTGGGACTAGAAAGCCAAGTTTGGCTCAGCTTTTGTGTGTTTGCAACCATTTTTAAAGCGTTCTCCTGTTCTATGGGAAATACATGCCCCTATTGTTGGACTCCATTTGCAGCGAGTCTCTCTCGGTCCCACCTGCCACCTCCCGAATAACCACACAGAGGATTATTAAGCAGGAAAGCTCGGCTGAGAGCTTAGGCTTCTTTTTTCCAAGTGACACATCGTCACAGTGTACAGAAAGATTAGTCCACAACAGTGTAGGAGCCTGAGTCTCCACCTGAGCTCCCCACTCTGCTCTCCTCTGCAATTCTGCTCAAGCATAATGTACATTAAAAAAAATTGTAACTTTCCTAAAGCAGCTGCTGGTGGCTCATGCCTGCTGCCAGTGGTGTCTCAGACAGTAGCAGAACTAGAGTGGAGGTTACAGTCTGTAGCCATTTGTAGCATCACTCTTTTGAAGTACTTACAATGAAACAATCCACTTAAAACTGAAATTCATATAGTAAGCAATTTTAGCTTATCTACCAAAGCAAGCAAGCAAGCTGTTAAATGTCTTAATTTTAATTGCATATATTTCCAAATGGATATTGAAAAAAAAAAGGCTTAAAACATCAGCCATTTGCTGGGTGTTTCTTGGTAGTGTTGGCAGTACTGAATTTTTGAAGAGATTGACAACTGACAAGATTATATTTGAAAGTTCTATTCAAGAGGCAGGGAATCGCTCAGTGGGTTAAGCAAAGGTACCAGCAAGTCTTACAGTCTGGATTTTCTCCCTGGGACTCGCCCCGGCAAATTGTCTTCTAACCTGCACACATTCACTGTGGCAGGCAAATGCGCGGGTGTATTCACACACAGTAAATGCAGAAAAAGTTCTCTATAAAAATTTTGCTAGTTGAGCAGTGGCCATGCACACCTTTTATCCCAGTACTCAGGAGGTAGAGACAGAAGGATCTCTCTTTATGTTTGTTTGTTTGTTTTTTTTTTCCGAGACAGGGTTTCTGCCCAGCCAGAAGGATCTCTTTGAGTTCAAGGCCAGCCTGGATTGACCAAGCAAGTTCCAGAACAGCCAGAGCTACACAGAGAAAAAAACAATGTCTTGAAAAAAAAAAGTTTATTTAGTAATTATAAAGAAAATACAGATGTTTCAGGCTAGTGAGTGGTGCGGGGATCCTAATTCTTTCCAATGTGTATCGATATGCTGTATGCTATTTTCTGTGAGAATGTGAAAAAGGCCAGAAAGCAATTCCAGTGTTGTGTGGCCCCGAATATCATTCATATCTGTTTGCGTGCTACTCCAGGTACGCAGTTGTTACTGGTGTCATAAAGAACCCTGTGATTCTTGTCATAAGCCCAAGCAAAGCTATTTCTGCATTGTGTGTGTGTGTGTTCAGTCATAAGCACTGTCCTTCCAGCCCCACCCTACAGACTCCCTAAATTCTTTAGTTTCAGGACAGTGGGAGATATAGAAAAATGATTTTATTTTATTCTTGTCTTTTTAGCAGTGCTAGTGTCTTTGTTAGGGTTTTTATTGCTGTGAAGAGACGATGACCACAACTCTTATAAAGAAAACTTTGAATTGGGGTGGCTTGCTTAAAGTTTCAGAGGTTCAGCCCACTGTCATGATGAGCACAGCAGCGTGCAGGCAGATGTGGTGCTGGAGCTAAGGGTGTTACATCTTGCAGGCAACAGGAAGTTGATTGAGGGAAGTTTGAGCAAAGA